GATACTTAACACACACCAAAAAAAAACCCAAACCAAAAAACCTAAAAAAACCACCCCAAAAAAACAAAAGCACGTTTTTTTTCCCCAGCAGGAGATGTGCAGATGGTAAGGGACCAAACTGGAGGTTTATACTTTTCAAGGGGTCATGTGCAGCAGCCTGTGCCCATGCCCTCTATCCAAGAAACCCAGCTTATGGTGCAGGGACCAGAGGGGCACAGGCAGGAGCTTGAGCAGGGCTGCACAAATGCAGAACTTTAAAAGTACTGTTGTGTTCACAGCTGCCACCATCTAGAGCATCAGTAGCCAGGGAACAATTCCAGTATTGTTAATTACTAGTAAGGATGGACTAAGGTGTACTTACATGTAGCATGCACAGATAGAGCCATGCAAAAAGCACCAAAAATGTGAAGGTCAGAACTAAAACAAAAAAAAATTTCTATTATGACTTACAAATGAGAGGTTTTTTACTGTTTTTTGGGGAGCTTTTCTGCACAGGCAGTGCCACCATTTTGACTTTTGCTTCAGGGTGGAATGGGGCAAAACAAACACCAGAAAATGATGCTGACTGATAAAGGCTGAGGTTTTTAGCAGCTTCTTTTCCCCAGACACCAAAGCTGTTTGTTTCTTACGATCTTTAGTGGGAGATGGGTTTACTCTGCTGGCCCCATCCCCTGAGCTGCTGCACAGGAGCAGGGCCATGCACTCACATCCCAGCTCCTGAGGAAGAGCCCTTTGGTGGGTGAGCAGCCTGAGCACAGCCCCTCCTGCTGAACTAGGGCTGTTGAGGGGAGGACAAAGCTCTGTGACCCCTTGGGAGGTGACAAGTGGCCTCTGAGCAGCCACAGCTGAGGAAGGGAAAGCAGTAGAGAAGGATGTGCTCCTCCTGCAAACACGGCCAAGGGTGCACTCCCTTGCATCTGGCAGTGAAATTTTTGAACCACATTAAAAACTCTGCCAGGTGTCAGGAGGGAGGAACTGCCATGCAGGACTTGGCTCTCCCATTCAAAGCAAAGCAAAGCAAAGCAATGCAGCCCCAGACAAGCCGAGCAGGTCCGTGTGTGAGTGTTGCCTGGAGCAGTGTTCCAGCACTGGCAGTGTAGATGTGGGGATGGAGGATGCATTGTCCCGTGTGCAGGAAAGCACAGAGTGCCCCTGCTGTTACAGGACCTGAGCCTGGCATGAGCACAGAGCTCTGCCCATGCCCATTCCTCGGGGTGAAAAGCCAGCAGCATCAGGCTGTGGAGAAAGCCAGAGAGCCACAGTGCCAGTGCCAGCAGCTGCCACTGCTGTCCGTGCCAGAGAAGTGGCACGGGTGGTTATGAGCTCAGAAGATGCGCAGTGCCCCTCCTGTGTCCCCACGGTCTCCTCACGTCCTTAGGGCCGGCCGAGGAAGCAAGGCTCTGATGGCTCCTGGCTGCAGCTCCCTCCCTGGAGCAGGGAGTGCCAGGCTGCTGTCCTGGTGCCCACCTGGGCCCTGCCTTCTCCAGCTGTGGCTGCAGAGCCCCGCAGCAGCCCCGGCTCCCCGCAGCGCACGAGTAAGGAGCACACCGCTTGGCTTCAAAACATACAATATACTTTATTGCCTGCTATAGATAATCAAAGTGAGGAGTAAACACCATAGCTGGAAAAAGCAGAAAAGGACCAGGAGAAGGAAAAGAATATCCAGTCACCAAACAAGTTATCAGGCAATAAACCATACACAATATAAATAATCTGTTTCCCAAACAACTAAATCTTTATTTTGCTAATGGCCATTATATGGTTAATTATCAGTAGTAAAATCTCTGGATTTCCTTTTCTACACAGCATTAGTAGTAAGAAATATATAAGGGACTCTGCAGAAAGCAATACAAAGGAGTTATATACACAGGCACCTTCTGTGGAGCAAGAACAGAACCTCATCTAATAAGGAAGGGCTATCTACAAACCAGAAGACCATGGTAATACAATATTAGCTCAGACTTAGTTTAGCTGCAGCCTTTCCACAAGGTAGGCTAGCCAACTTATGTATACATATATATTTTAATATAGATATATATAGAGATTTATTATTTTAAAAATAACGTGAACTACCTGTAGTTCCTAGACTAATTTTAAAGAGGCAGTGTACCTTTCTGAAGCTTCATTTCAGGAAGTATATTAAAAATGGTATATAAAAGACTAGCAGACCCAAGCTCACGTATTGAGTCCTGATATCTTCCCTCCAACTTCTTTTTCTAACGCTATAGCTGCCACCTGCACTGACAGCAATGCCTTTAGTCATCTGGATTGCTATTTATGTTGCTGTAATTGCTACCACTAAGTTTACTGGATTATAGTGTTAGTAATTGTCGATTATAAATAGCAATAATGCTGCAGTACACTGTCAAAGCCTGCCGCGTTATGAAGATCTAGTCTGTATGTGCATGCAGAATTTTGTTGTTTAATCTAAAAGAACATTTCTCAAAGTGCTTCCCCTGTCAACCCCACCACATTTTTCAACCACATGGCAAGGGCTCCCCTCTCTCACCCAGGATCAAACTCTCAGCAGCCCTTCACACAGCACCCATTCATCTGACTTTGTTTTCAGTACATAACCCTTTCCTCTCACACAGCCAGTGTCCTCAAGGCTACTAAATATGACTTATTAAAATTAAAACTGACTATTTGAGGAAATGCTTTCAACACATTTTGGTCAAATCTCCAAGGGGGTCATTTGAGCCTCATGTTCCCCAGAGCAGGCAGGGAGAGTTGCTGGCTGCCCAGGAGCCAAGCCCAAGCTGCCAGCAGGGGATGAAGAAGGGAAAGACATTTGCAGAGAGCACAGTAAAGGCCCAGCAAGGTCCAGGATGCCTTTTGTGCCACCCTTTTCCAGTCTGCTCCCTTTTTGTGTCTTGGGGTCCACTCACAAAAGCCAAGTGGGAGCACGCACATGCAGACAGGCAGCACCCCTTCCAATGGATTTCCTCCTAAAAACAGGGATGGAGGGATGAGGCCCCTCTTGTAAGCGGCACCACTTTGCTCTCAGCCCAACCCTCACTGCTCACACAAGATGCCACATCACTTTTGTTCATGACACAGACGTCACTTAACACATTCCCTGCCTGAGGGTTTCCAGAAGCCTCTTCCCAAATCAGAGCTCACACCCTGACACACAGCTGCTCTGCCTCGCTCTATCCCCCACAGCCTGCTGCCTTTCCTGTTGATGCCAAACCAGGATCCAGCCCATGTGACTTGGCATGGTCCCACCTGCACAAGTGACTGCTCTGCTCCCCTGGACCCCCAGCCAGGCACACGCCACAGGCAGAAACAACCTCTGCTGCAAGCTCCAGTACCTGGCCAAAACACCCAGCACACACTCAACATGAGTCATCTTTGATACAGCACAAGTCTTGTATCAAGAAAAGCACAGCAATAAACAGCTTCCCCTAATAATTCTGACATTTTGATAGCAGAGCTTAAAAGTAGGTATTTGAAAGAAGGATGCCCTGATGGAACAGGATGCATTTGCAGTGTTAGGGAAGGAAGGATGGTCTGTACCCAAGAGCATAGCTAGCATGAGCACTCAGCCCAGCAAACACATCCTTGCTGAACTGCGCCTTCTGCATCTTTGATTACAAAACAGTACAGATAGAAAGTTCCTGACTGGATTTCAAGTGAACTCAGAAGCAATCCAAGCAGCAGGTATCATTCTTTGTCTCATCCAGGTACCCACGGGGAGCAGGCAGGAAGTACCACAAGAAGAGGGGTGCATGTGTAGGGACACTGCTTAAAACTCAGTCACTCCAGTCCCTGCATCACCACAGAGCATCACCTCACCTTATTTATGCCCTTAGACTTTGCTTTGCCATTGACACAGACTGTGCAAGCACAACACAAGAGAAATGCCCTTCTTTTGAGTATTTTGTTAAGGATTTTGTGCATGCAAGGGTAAGAGGATCAGAGTTATTTTTCAGCTCTATTAGTAATTCCTCTCCAGCTCTACAGGACTCAAAGCACATGCTGATACTCAAGAGCAGGGAAAATGCAGGAAGCACCTTGCTATGCAGGGAGGAAGGGAAAAAAAAAAGGGCAAATTTTAAGTGAGAAGAAATTACACTGTAAAATCAGCTGAATATTCATCTGTACTGGCTGCTCTTGTGGTTTTTTGACTACTGAGTAAGAGGGTGTAATTTGGAAGTCATACTCTGGTTGATCTGCTATAAAGTGCAACTTTTTTTGTCACTTTGTCTCCACTGTAACTTGTTTTTACTTATTCCAGGTAGGGTTCCCAGGGGCGAGCAGCACTGAAAAAATCAGGGGGAGCACAAAGGTACGAGTAGGAGAAAAACTGTGAAACATGAAGGAGAACACTTTTCCTTCCCCAGGCATCACTAAAGACTACATCGATGGTGAAAGCTAAGGACTACTGAACATACTGGTTAATTTGCAACTGAAGTGCAGCCTGATAGGCATGCACCATATTTCACAGTTTGTGTGTGACAACAGGAGCAAAAATTCCTAGCACTAAGCCAGGGTGATTATTTGGCTTGGGGAAAATAATTTTATCCCTCCCACAAGCTTGGTTTCCCCTTTTATAGGGCCAGTTATTCCAATCACAAAGTTGAGGAAATTGCATTTTCTAAACTGCTCTGTTTCCCCCTTTTCCTTTTTAAGCCATTAAATATTTTCTCTCTCAATGCTTGGAGAATGCTAACTTCTGCAGGGGGTTGTCTGTGGAGATACTGCCCTTCAAAATCAGTCTTTGGTCAGTACAGAGATTTCATCAAAGGCTCATTCTGGAACTGAACAGACCTGGGTGCTCCATCCATCCAAGCTCCTTGCCATATCCATGCCCATAACAGGGGCCAGATGTCACCTGGAGCAGGTGTCTCCAAGAAGCCTCTGCTTTGTGTCCTGCCCGTGGTACCACTTGTTTCAGCTCTTCACCACAGCACGCGGTCGCTGTGCCACTCTGCGGTGACTCCTGGGTGTCGGTGCCCAGCTCTGTGCCACCGCATGGAGCAGCTCCCCGGGGCCTGGGGGCAAACAAAGGGCACTGAGCCACCTCTGCCACTGCCTCTGCAGCTGTTCCCGGCCGAGCCCACGGAGCCATGGTGTGCAGGGCTGGTGCTGGGAGCCTCAGCAGCCCTGGGGAGCGTGGCTGGCCACGACCACAGCAGTGCGGGGCTACAAGGGGCTGCTGTGCACTGCAGGAGGCACCAGTGCTGCCCGCTGCCCGCGCCAGGGCCTTTGCCATCGCCTTCCCCACCTCGAGCTCCGTGTGGCCACGCACAAGAGCAGGGCTGCTGGGTCTGGGGCAGGGTCCCAGCACATGCCATCGTGGCTGGGGCGATCTCTGCCCAGCACCTGGAGCAGTGGAGTGCAGGAGATTTGCTGACCCATTTCTTGCAAGCCTGCAGTTTCTGGTGAGTGTGGCAAAGCCCTGCCCTAGCCAAGGCAGCAGGCACAGTGACCAGGAGTCCAGGCTGAGAGCCTCCTGATGAACCACAACAGGCAGAAAACGAAGGCAACTGCCCAGCTTGAGGGATGTGCTCTCCCCTTTGATTCCCCGTTGGATGCCTATTCCCAGTAATGGGTTCTCAGCATGGTCTGTCACCCCGAGACTCCTCAATAAACTGTGGCATTGCCCCAGGTAAACTGGCACACAGCCCTTGTAATTCTCTGGCCCTGCTCCATTAGTCTCCTAAGTGCTTCAAAATGATTCCTCTAGTCCTCATTGGGAGCTGGAGAGAGTGTTGCAGACACAGCCACAGGTCCCTGGCTCAAAGCAGAGACCTGGGGATGTCCTGGTCCCTGCACTGCCAACACCACTGCACACAGCTCTCCCCACATTTGCCAGGGAGGGGCTGCATCACACCCTGGGCTGGGACCTTGCTGCAAGCGCAGGTGATGCTTTGCCAGCAGCATCCCAGCAGAGGACAGTCAGGAAAAAGGCTGCTCCAAGGCAGGAGGCAGCAGGGGAGGACAGCTGTAGGCCAAGGACAGGCTCTGGCCCCTGCTGGCCCTCCAGCCTCTCGCTGTGGCTGGCACAAGCACTGCCTAATGAAATGGATGATGTTCTCCTTTGGTCTCCTCCTCGTAATATGGCTTTACTGATGGCCTTGTAGTATCTGAAAAGGGTAACAAGGAAAAAGGCTGGCAAGCTGGGTTTGTTTGGGGCTGGTGATTTTTTGGTTTGGCTTTCAGATTTTTTACTGTCTGAACTCTGTAAAAAAAAAACAATTGAAGGCAACTACTGGATAGAAAACAGCATGAGGAGAAAGGTCTCTTTGAACCTCTCTGATATGGCTATTAACCATCAACCTGACACACCATTCGAAGAAAGAGGTTTAAAAAGGCATGGAGGAGTCCTGTGGTGACCAAAGTTGGGCTGGTGCTCCTTGAAAATCTTCTCTCAGATTTTATCTGACCATTATTTTCTTTATAAAAACAGCTAAAATGCTCATCTATCTAATGTCATTTGAGGACACTGTCCTTTTCCCCTATACCCTGAAATTTTGTACCTAGGCACTGGGGGAATAAACCATCCTCAAAAAGACAGTCAAACACTGGAAAAAACAGCATGGGAAATGGCTGATTCTCCATTATTAGAGGCTTTTAAGGATAAGTTCAACACCCACCCGTCCACCTGTCAGGTCTGTGCTAAGAATAGCTCAACCTGCCTTGGAAATTGTCTAGCTGATGTCTCCAAGTCCCTTTTGGCCCTGTGACTCTGCACCAAGTAAATACTGCCAAGATCTCGTCCTGCCACAACCCAGGATGTGTTTAATATCCTGTCTGGCTGTTTGGTTTTCTGCCTTAGCTTGCTATTTGTCCAGGAACACACACAAGCACTTTAGACATCCTATTAAGAGTCAGCTTAAGTCCTCACACACCACCAAAATCTTGTCTACTTCTATAGTCACCCTGTAAAAAGATGAAAATGGGGAGCAGCAAACCAAGATGAACATACAGAAATGTCCACCCTGACATTCAAAAGCTGTCACAGAAAGCTTTCCTTCAGCCTTTTTCCATCTTGAAAAATGTGACCGATTTGCTGACAAGTTGATAACAAACAAGAAAACCCCACACTGACAAGAACCACTGACTCTTTTAAGTGTTTTTCACTGCTTCTTGCCCATGGATTGCATGAGTTGGGCATGCATTCAAGGAGCCTCTTGTTTTTAAATCTGCTACAAGTAGCCCAAATAATCATGTGGTTTACGTAAAACATGACTTCGTCTTGAAAAAAAAAAAGAAGAAAAAAATGTCAAGCTAGGAGTGTGGGCCATTTTAAAACAGGCACTCACAAACATCAAGATGAAAAACCTTTAGGAAATACCAGCACTAGTGTGATGATGATGTGCAATGCTGCATTTCACGTAACACAATTGCCCAAAGCTGATCTCCCAGCCCCAGCTCCTCTCAGCTGGCTTATGGTGCACAATTAATGCAGCAACTTAACAGCAGCCAACCTGCAAGGAATAAAAGGAAGTGAACAAACAGCAGCAGCCATGCTGGTCTGCCATGCTCACCTATGGATGGCAGTGCGAATCCATCTGTTCACCACTTCTGCAGTAAGCAATTATTTTAGCAACTTGCTGACCCACTCTTACCATAGAAACACAAGCAGAAAATGCAGAATCACATTTATGGAGGTGCTGGTCATCCCTTACAGACTTGTCTGCACCCTGAGTTAATTCCCCCACCCCTATTTATAAATTTCACATGGGTGAAAAAAGATCTTCTAGGGACAGATTAAATTGTGAAAGTCTTTGGCATCCTTCCTCAATTCATGCTTCTTGATGACAGCAATGCTCAGTAACAATAACAAGGATAAAAAATGTCTTTACATCAGCAATTACACCAAGTGCACAGAGCCTTGAGACAACCACCATCACAACAGTATTTCAAGGAGATGGATGAAGTTTACAACAGCAAACACCTGGTGCTTCCACCACCAATCTCTGACTGAAACAACTCAAACCTGCAGAGAACTGCTCTCCCAACACAATCTCTGTCATGCAAAGTGCCTGGAACAGCTTTCAAACACAAGCAGGCGAGTGGCACAGAAATTAAAAGCAACATTTTACGAACTGACAAAACATGCAGGGCAAGAGCCCTTGGCTATGTGAATCCTGCAGGTGCAACTCAAACTGCAGTTGTCTGCAGCACCTGTCAGCTGCCATTCCTATCCCATCCCTTTGGATGCAGTGGGGCTGCTGCAGTTCCCAGTGCCTTTTCTGGAGAGAAAGCCATAATGCTGCATGTCTGATCCCACAGGCTGCCCCCATGTGGGCCTGCTCCCTTAGGCTAGGCTGTATGAGCAAGGTAACTGGAAAAGGCAATATAATGTTTATTTGAAGATTTCTTCAATAATAATGGAGGAAAAAGGTGTAATTGTCTGGGGATTGTCTTGTACTCCTTTAATTAAGAAATTTAGAAATGTGTTGAGTTTTATTTTCCAAGTTAAGGCTTAGCATGAGTTCATGTAAACATTATAGGTCTAACATGCAGTACTGAAGGGGGTTTGGTTTGGCTTTAAAAAAAACCCAAAAAAATAAAGTGAATTTAGGCCATGCACTGAAAAATGAACCATGCCAAATATCCATAAACTGTGAATCTATTCTCACAATGAACTGTTAGGAGGAGGAAATAATTTATCAGGTTTCAAAAACCTGCAGGGTGCCTGGCCCTGCACTGGTGGACTTTCCTACAGAGAGCTGGGGCACAAGAAAGCCCTGGGGAGCTCAGCTTTGCTGCTCTATTCACTTCCCAGCAGGATACCACCCCCTGTGCCTATTTTTTTGCAGAAGCTGTGTTTGACACACAGCCATAGCTCATGAGAACTGTTTTTAAAATACTAATTAAAAAAAACACTGCAGGTTTTTCAGAGTTATGCAATAGGTTGGGAAGGTGTGGGATACTGTCCATCCTACTGAAAATCTGTGGTATGTTTTGCTACTGATGTCTACCAAGTGTTCAGCCTCTCAAAAAAAGAGGAGAAAAAGGCAAGATGACTGAAAAGCAAGGTGAAAGATTCACAAGTGAAGCTTGATGTTCTCGACTTCCTGCAACATGAGAAAACCATCCAAGACAGAGCTCTGTCTCCAAATATAAAGCATTTTCAGTGGGACAAAAAACACAACCAGTTCTTTTTAAACAGCTTTTATGCTGTTTATGTCCCTTGCATCCTGATAGAAAGAGATTTCCAGCAGCTGAGATTTGTGGGATGGTGGTTTAATGCTGAATAAAGATGCACATTCCAGACATGCCACCACATCCTCCAACAAGCACCGTCAGGTGTGACAGGCCAGTGCTGCTAAGGGACTCCCAACTACGTCTGAGGCAGCTCACTGCATCTAAAAAATTCCATTTGCCATTTTCTATTTATTTTAAGACTGTTTAAATAGATGTATTTGTGGCTTTATTTATCAAAAGTACTAAAAAATTACTCATCTTGCAAAGCACACTGAGTACTTTCTCAGTGGTCTAAAATCCCAGAAATTTCTATTTAAGAATACATTTTTATGTCATCATTAAAGATGCTTTAAAATCCCTGCTGGCAACCCTTGGCCTTTAACTAGAGAATCACAGTGCCAAGATGGAACAGGAAATATCTGTTTTTTGTCTAGGTTCTTTAAACTAGTTGTAGTTTAACAGAGTCCATGAACATGAAGCTAATGCTTTTATATTGACTCCTGTGTATTATGGTGTTTTCAAGGTTCTCACCCACGAAACATATCATGGGTAAAAATTCTCATAAATTAGTTGCTTAAAAAAATGCAACCCTTCATCCCTAAGAGATTTCCTTGCTGGTATGGATTTCTGCATGAGAAGTAGTTACCTTCACTTTGAAAGATCCCAGAGCTCAATTAACTATGTCCTAAATGTGGTGCACTACAGACAGTCACTAGAAAAGAAAAATTACGTATCAGAGTTAAACAGCCACACAGTAAATGCTTCCCTCCATTACTTTGCAGTGTAAAACTATGCCTTGTGCCAGCCAAGAACGGTATATTTTCTTAAGACAGCAATAAGAATTCTCTTAATTACTGATTCAAATAATGATGAGCACTTGATATTATTTATGATGTACTTGCAGGGAAGCATTCATTAGCAACACTTACACCATGTGCCAAATACATCTGTCATCTGTGAGTGAATGGGATGGTTTAGAACTGCATCACTCCTTAAGCAACTCACACATTACTTCTAACTGAAAGTTATTGCTACAGGCACTGAAGCAAAACACTGCAACCATTCCAAGCCACAGACTTGAACTGTAATTTCTACTTTTTTTTTTCAGACTGCTTGGCAAACCTTGCTCTTGAAATTGGAATCTCTTGAAGACAATGAATTGTCCATCTGCTGTGATGGTAATTTCCCTGCCACCTTATTTCCGTTAGAAAACACTGCTCTTCAAAACAAAAGCAAACACAGCCTTATTGCCACAACCTGTCAATCTCTGCACCGCCTACTGAAACCTGGAAGCTCATGAAGGTCCAACTTCACCGTCGAGTTCCCAGCTGGGTTTGTTTCACTTTGTATTACAAAAATCTATCTAGGCAGCTGCAGGCAAGCACAGATCCCACACAAAGCTGTCGAGGCACTGACAAACTTTTTGCCATTCTAAAATGGAGAGGGCTGTCACGAAAGAACGTCCCTCTGCCAGAGCCCGGCTCCATGACAAACACCACAGCTGGAAGTCCCAAACCAGATGAATCATCTCAGAATGTAACAGGGAATTGTCTGTCTGTCAAGACAGAGATGTGCAGTGAATTTGCTTCAAATGATATCACTCTGACTGACACCATTGCCTGAACCAATGACATTGGTTTTGCAAGACTGAAAACACATGAACTCCAAAGCCATTGCAAAAGCCATTACTATTGGACACCAAAACCAAAACTAAATATTCTAAACTATTGACAGATTGGGACTATCTGATTTCCAAATTCTCCTTAACTCCTAAAAACAGTAGAGTGTTTTAATAACCCAGTGGTGCTGACCAGGTGTCAAGGGAACCCACCCTTGGAAGGGAGTTGATGCTCAGATTGGTCTGACAGAAGCCAGATGGTTTGCTCTAACTGGGAAGCCTTTGGTGGGCCATACCTGGAACTTGTACTCAAAAAATGTATTCCAAAAACTTCTTTTGGATTGGAAGGACACCTCCCAGGACCTCAGGTTTTCTCTTTCCCACCCTTTTTGTTTTCTTAAATTGGATGTTGTTTGACGGCAACACCTGATTTTTCTTAGTGTGCTGCAATGTCATTTTGACTCAACTGGCTTGATTTTTGAGTCTGTTTCAATTAGTTCCTCGTTTCACAGGCTGACAAATAAGCTAAAGTGCTGCTTTATAAGGAATACAAGTTTTTTATGTTGTACTTCATATAGGCTGGATTTTCAACTGGAGTTTCAGCTGGGCCTGCAGCAGTGACACTGTGGGCCAGTGCACTTATGCTGAACATCTAAATCGGAAATAACCAATAAAGCCTTGATGAAGTTTCAAGTATGTTTTAAATACAACTGTATTAGAGCTCAATTTCTTACTGTTGCTGTGCCAAGAAAGTCCACAAAAAAGAATTTGACACTGGATAGAAGGTAGATGTTTTATCTTATAGGCTTTATTTCAGAAAACAAAACAAAACAGAACTTTGCAGCAGAGATAGGAACGCATCTCGTATTTTGTTACAAAGTGCTAGTGTCCTACTGGAGAATCGACAGCCCCATGAGCTGGTGTATAGCATGGCTACTGTATGCCCAGGTATTCTGTGTGCCTCACTCCATGTTGTCACATTGTAGGAAAAAAATAGTCTTTCTGAAAGCAGTGTTAGCTGTACATTAAAAAACTCCGGGATGAACAATGGAAGGGACCCAACAAATGGTATCGAGGGGAGAATAGTAGTGTCTAGCAAAGAACGTGGCACTTGAGTCAGATGATGCCTTTCCACTGTTTTTTCAGAAGTATCAGTGGAAATTTACCTTACCTGACAGTTAAGAGTCAGTGTCATGCCATGCAGTTGCAAAAAGCAACCTGAGTGGGAGCTGGGTAAAAAAACAGATCTAGATGCACTGAGAATTAGCTGAATTCAGCAGGTCTTTAGTTGGAAGAACCAAACGAGAGCAGAGGAGAAAATATGGGACTTCAAGGAATGAAGATGACTGTTTTAAGGTACTCTAGTAATAAAAAAAGTGAATAGTGACTTCAAGGTACCTGACTGGGCACCCGATACTGACAGAACATGTATTTCTTAAAATTTCTTCCACATTTTTTGCTGGCTGCATGAGAACTTTCCTTCCCCTTCCATATGACCTTTACATGGCCTTTAAGGCTGAAGCTTTTCCATTCCTGGTGTTTCTTTGCAGAGATACTGACGCATACCCAGTGAAGGCAGTGCAAGATTGCATACGTTTCTTCTTTCCTGAGTAAATAGCACATAGATAAAAAAAGCCACAAACCTAAAGGTTTCCCTTCTGCTGCTTTTGACTCAGAGACAGGAGATCTGCTCCCGTGTGAACAGCCAGTGTCTACTGGCTTCATGAAGTCTGTTCCAGGGTCTTCTGTGTTCCAAAAATACACTGCAATCAAGGAGGTTTCAGGCATCCAGGGACAGAAGAAGAGAAGATCCCCAACAGTCTAACTTTCAAGCCTGAAGAGGGTAAAATATATGGGCAGAGCAGATTCCTGGTTTAAACAACTTTCCAAAGTAGTGGGAACTTACTACCTTTAAGTTTAAGCATTGATGTCACTTGCTACTTATTTCTAAAAGAGAAACCATTTCTGAGTAAGTTCTTTTATGTCCAAAGACTGAAATCATACCAAGGGCTTCTTCTGTGGGACTAACTTCTCTTTTATCTTTGTTGACTATCAACAACTTCCCAATTGTGCAAGAAGACAAAACCTACAAACACGAAGTAGATACCTAGGAAGTTCAGAAGAAAAGCCAAACTTTTCTTCCAAAGCCTAGCTGCACCAAGTCCTGGCTCTCTCTGTCCCATAATCTCCAGCTTCATGCAAACCTAAGTCCACAGAATTTTGGTGTACCTGAATGGATCTGTGGATTTTCTAAACAATGTCAACAGTGCTGAGCCGGGCTCAGAAGTTTTAAGAAATAAAATGGAAGCTCCCAATATAGACACATATAAGGAAGAACAATGGGCAGAAGTTCTTTGCAAAGTAAATGACATATTCACAGTCATGGTGTAGAAGCTAAATGGATGATCTGACATAAAACTACAGCTTACAGTTTTGAGGGTCCATCTCTGGGTTTTGGCATCTTCCATTTTCACATGAAAATGAGCTTGTTTGAATATACACAACCAACAAGTTCATACTGTAGCTAAAAACAAATTCTGCAAATACTGCTAACTCAGCCATATGTTAAAGTAAACAATCATTTGATGGTAAAGCAGCTGAAGTATCAAAGAAGCTCCATTTGAATAGTATTTATTTGCAATCATTAGTTTTAAATGGGAAACTGTTTACAGGCACACACTAGATAACCAAAATAGAATGGACATAAAGAAATCTATTTAAAGGTCCTTATCAAATATTTCAAATATTTTATTAAATATTTTATTCAGTTTCATTATCACAGTTTAATGTACTTTAGCATGTTATACACATGACTTAACATGTGCACTTAAAAGTATCAAATTAGAGGTTTTTGAATAAAATATGACATTCTATAAATGTGCTTATTGACTTAACTACACACGACTAAGAAGGCAGTAGCTCTTATACCATTGATGGAGATGAACTATTGTAAGGCATGTTTACACCAAACTTTGGAGAGAATAAAACCATATACTAGGTCAAAATTCAGTGGAAATACATGTGAAAATAGAAGTTGAAGGATTGGGCTCCAAGAAGAAAGATCATAGCAAATCAGTTGTGTTAAAACTGTCAACAGATACTGGTTATTAAAAGCAAACACTGCTGAGAAAGGTTTTTGTAGCATCCAGGTCAGCAGGATCTGTGTTTTTTTCAGGTGTGATTTTTGAAACTCACACCTTATGGTGTGTAATGTGAAGAAAAGATACTAAAATCTAGCAAGGAAGTCGGAAAACTATCATCTGGGAAACTTCAAGTTGTTTTATGAGCGAACATGGGAACACTTGAGTACAGAGTCCATGCTGGCAGTCACTGCACTCCGATGTGTGTATGTGAACGTATGCACACATGCAGACACATGCACATACATGCCTCTCCTGCTTTTGTCATCCTTAAAGACTCAACCACTGACTGGAGTATAGCAGTAACAAGGCTTCAGCTGTGGAGCTGAAAAGAGCAGTCTAGACCATTACATTCGAGAACCCAGTCAGCTTTCCTGAACCGGTGTGGTTTTTCCAGTGGAGTACAGCATGGGTCTGGTGGTATATGCTAACAGCCAAGACCCAGAAACTACAATAGAACTCTTTGGAAGAACTCCACAAATGTTAAACTATTTGCAGTCATTTTTAAAATTCCACCTCAATGAAGGCCCTAGGTCATGATGATGTGCTTCCCCAAGGAACATCACACAAGCCCAAGCTTAAATCCAAGAGCATAGTGGTCCATGACTGGGGCTCCCACACCGTCACAGTGACAACAATGCTGCCCCTTAAGGAAGGAGAGCTTCCAGCCTAAGCTTGGGTATGTTGCTGAGTGGAGATCTCATGTCAAGTCTTCCTAGATTTCTGCCATCAAAGAATTAGTGGGGGAACATAAAATAGACGTCCATCTCATAAGCTTCAAAGCTGTCAATTCAGTACAGAATATTGAGTATATAAATGACTATGGTAGACTTCGGTGAGAGCATAAACCTCACTGTGCCCTTTTCTTGGGGAATTCAGGGGAGGAGGCAAGTAACCCTTTCACAGCCTAAACATGTACTTGTTCATGGCACTCATTGTCCTGAAGTGCCTCAGCATCCTGGCAGCCGTAGCTGACAGTTCAAAAATATGTACAAGGTAGGGAGAATGCCATGAGTATTGCAAAACATGGCAAAGGAGCTCTTCAACCTATCAAATAAGCACAGCAAACAAACAGCATCTAATGGATAACGTAGGGTATACAACACACGAGTAGCACAGTTATGTCTCCTTGTGAAATGAGGAATGCGAACGTAAACTCCAGAAAGAAGTTTCAAGAGCAGCACGTGGCTCACTCAAACACCTCTGGAAACATCAGAAGTCCACCACCCCATGAGCACTGCATCTTCTGCTGTTACAGAAACTGATCTCACTGAACCAAGCAGAGCTAGTGGGCCCACGCTGTGCAACCCACATGACTGTGGCAGAAGTCAAACAAAAACGCTCCAGCAACATAGTTTGGCTACCACTGTATATTCAGCCTTTATGGTGTCTGTGCTATATAAATGTTGCTCTTGGAAAATAAACACACAGCGATATACAAATGGTATCAATGGCCAAAAAGATTACATGATCAAGCCTGAAAGCAAATGGAAGTTAACAAAAGTAGTCTTTTAGGAGAGGTAGCCATATTAGGCTCAGCATTCAAAGAAAAGGGAGTGCACTCAAAAGGGTCAACATACATTATAGTGTCTTGTAGACCCATCATGTTTCTGGTTTCCTACATCATTTTTTTGCAGAATGTACACACCAGGCACACACATGTGCACGCGCACACACACACACACACACACACATCCACACCCCTATATATATACATCTAAATTTTTTTCTAATTCCCCTTTGTTGCCATAACGTTTCCATACTGAGAATAAAGGACAGCTTTCCTTACATACTCTCTTAGCTGTCCCATGTCTATAACTTGCTTTCCGTTGGTTCAGTATCTGTACAGTAGCTAAACAGGCAGTGGAAATTAAAACTGCTTCAATTAATTCGATTCAATGTAAAAGACAGCATCCAAACTATAAGGCATTCCCTTGTACTGACATGACTTACAACTCTCTACTTGATACCAACTGCAGAATGCTCTTCAGCCTTGGGCTACAAAGGCAGCTTTCACCCAAATAATAAAGACCAAAGCTGGAATTGAAACACCACAAATCCACACACTTCTACCAGTCCCTTGTTCTTGTGCCCCTGTCCAACAACGCTTACCATTTTAATTTCAAAAGTCATGCACCAATGCTATAAAATAGAAACCCAAACTACCAAGAAGTCTCTTGCTCCTGACTTTGGGATACTGTATTAGTATAAAAGAGTACTCAGTCATCTTAAATAAATAGATTCTTTTCTATTTTTCAGCACATTCAAGGGGTAGTTACTGCCAAAAGCAGAGCATTAAGTAATCTCCATAGATGTTTTCAGAATCATTTAGTCAGAAAAGACCTGTAAGAAGATATGGAGTTTTGATTGATTTGGTCTAATACCTGGAAAATAGTCTACTGTGGGGATAAGAATCTGCATCTCAAATGTTCTGCAGAACGTATTTCCCATATTTGTATACAGTACTAGAACAATTAAGAAGACATTACAGTAATTTTCTCCCAGCTGCTTAGATCTGTAGCTTCGGCTACGACAATGCATTTTGTATGCCTCAGAACTATGAAATATCGAAGATGACTAAATAAATAAAAGCCAACAAAAACTGGGACAGTACTGCATTTTACACTTGAGACAAGATTCCCCCCTCCCATGGATAAGTTACAGAGGACAACTACAGTAAATGCTTGTCTTTTTTTCAAAGAAAGATTTATACACAGGTTCAGATCCAGAAAATAATGTGAAATGCATAAATATTGATAGCTTTAGCTAAGTTAAAATGGGTTCAGTAAAGTATGATACAACATATTCAGAATAAACAAAGCAGAAAAGCATCATATTTTGGTTTGCTTGAGATATACATAAGGTGCAACAATTTCTTCTCTAGAGGCATTTGTGGACAACGTGTTAACAGATAACAGTGTTTGCTGGTATACTGAAGTACACACAATAGCAGTAAGATTTTCCAAAATGAAAGCAGCTGAAATTAATAAAAATTAAAACAAAACAAACAAGGAAAAAACCCAACCCCAATACAGTAAGATATTGGTCTGAAGTTTTTGTTGTGCTAACAGACTTTGTTACCTGAAAATACTGATACCCCTTCTAGTAGATTCAGGGAAAATTCTAGCTACTCAAATCAAGACATCACTCAGAGAACCAACAAAGGCAAATGCCTAGTGAACTATAAAGCTTTGCAGGATTTCTGCTACTCTCAGTGCCTAATCGCTTAAAAATTAAGCATATCTACAAAAAGGTTTATAAGTATCTGAAAACAGTCATATCCAGTAAACTGACCCAACCCTACCCCTTCTCTAAGGGAAAGTCAAGGAAAAGCAGATCAAGTAAGATATTAATTAATATAGAAAAAAGTAATTTTCTGTTTCTTTTAAAAAAGGTACCATTAATATACAGAAATATCTCCAGGAACAATATTGAAATTTAAATTGAGGAAGGATGGGGTGCTTTGACAAAAATATATCTACTCTAAAGGTTTCTAGAGAAATAAGTTAGTACCATTGTCAACGTGAACGGCCTGCACTGTAACATATTTGGATTTCAGCTAATTATAAAGTGGTCCAAAACTCCAACAGCCACCCTGCTGTGACCCACAAGTTTTAAGTCTTTTAAGATTTTCTTGTCTTGTTAAAATAACTTATAAAACTTTAATAAAATCTTATTTAAAATACCACCATAGGCTGCAATGGCATTCTAGGGGCCCTTAGACATTTATTCACCTGAATTTTAAAAAAGCCTTTTCACTGACTCATTGGTTTGTAAATTTTGTTGTTCTTCTTGTTCCCTTCTTCCAACACATGCATCCTCAATGGTGCTGTTTCAGTGACACTTCCCCAGCTACCTGCCTTTTGTCAGACCTTCAATCCTTTCTTAAAAACTCTTGTGGTACATTGTATATTGTTTCCTGACACTGAACCAGAAACTTTCACTTAACTACAACAATGAAAGGCTAAACCTAGCAAGCATTAATAGTTACTGTCCATATGGCTATTACATCAAATCAGTTACAAAATAACCCCAAAACACATTATCAATTCAGTCAAGTATAAATAAGAATGCCTGATAGAATGATGTAAACTCGCATCATTTAAAGACTTAATTCAAAGAACTTCAAACTCAATCTAATACTATCAAAAAGTTCAGCCGGTATGACGAAGACTAATAGAAAATTATTGCTGGAGTCCAATTTGGTAAATTGTGCTACAATGCAAAAAGTAGGGAAACATCTTGTGCTATAGAAGAAGTACCCTGTTGAATTTGTAGCTTTAGATCAATTACTAGTGATCATTTTGCATCTATTGGTAGGAATCAATGCTTGGTTATATAAGAGTGTAAGTCAGAATAGTGAAGGTAACAGGCCAAGTGATACACTTGGCCTGCTTTTGGGATGTATTTATGAGAGCAAAACACAAAAATTCTACACAAGCAGAGACAGAAACTGGCAGATGGATCTGTTTGGTAGTCTGAATTCAGTCAAACGCTACTCTTCAGTTGTAGTTTAACTGTATACAGCTTTCCACTTCACCAACACAAACTGTAATCGGCCCTTTAGGCAAACTCTGAAGCTGATTTGGACTGTGCATAGTAACTACAACAATGCCAGTGTCTGTAAAATGTAAAAGGTATGTGTATTGGTGTACACTATGTCGAAAAGTCATGGTTTTAAGTTTTTCAGAACTGTGAAATAATACTAAGGTCACTTTTGAAAAACGCATTTGCAGTACTTTTTGTTTACAGGAAAGTTTCACCAAGTCACTCAGATACTTATGCAAAAATAAAGGAACCCTCCAAGGCATGAAAGACAAGTCAATTATCTGCAGTATTCTCTTTTCCATACACCACTCTTTTTCTAATGCACATCATCCTGGTTATTCAAAGCTAAATTAAAAAGAAACAAACCCAAATGTAGCCTGTCAGAACTTCTCCCAGTAAACTCTACCACTCTGGTGGCAAATATAAAAGTGCAGAACATCTGGACCACGTGGCTGCCCAAACACCGCTAACAATGGTACATCTGTCCAGGCTGCCTTGAGTTCTCTGGAACAGGTTTTAAATTCATTCTACAATATAAACGTAGGCATAACCTATTAATATAAACCATCTTAGAACTTAAATCTTCATGTACAAAAATGACTAAGAATATCTAATAGTAACTAGTGCAGTGCGTCAGTGTTTTTGTTGGTTTTTTTTTTTCTTTTTCTTTTTCATTTAGAATAACTAGGTATTATATGAAACTAGTTGTCTTACTCTCTGGTTGGTAAAAGAGATGCTGTGTGAGCTAACAGTAAAGGCAGCCTTTTTCACACCAACCACCTGTTTACTGTTTAAAAGCCTTCAATAGAAAGCAAGCTCTGGGATCATTCCACTCCATTTCAGTTCATTAACAGACAACATCACCCTCCTACATACTGGGATTCCAATTTGAGGACCTGGCCCAAGTTGCTAACGTCTGGCTTCCAGTGAATTCTGGGCCACTCAGAGCAATAAGCACTTTATTGCAGTCTCTAGTTCCATCATATGGACTGACTAGCTTCCCTTGGTAAAGACAAGGCTAGGATATTAGGTAAAGCACAATGTTTTACAATAAAGTGGAGCTTCACTGGTCAGCGCAGGAAATAAGCACTGGAGCCTGAGACATTTCATTTGGCTGTCCATCATGTGGGAGAGGTGTGGCCCTCTGACTTCTGCAAAAGAAGAAAAGAAAAGCCACCCATCAGTACTTGGAGCACGGGAGGTGCTGTTATCAGACCAGAAAGGCCGGGAAGTGGCAGCTGTTCGGTTCAGACCCGACACCACAGCACCGTAACTCCTCACTGCTGCAGGTGCTCACATACTCTGGTTACATGTGCTTTCAGAGGTGTCCCTGCAACAGTGACACAATATCCTGAGGACAACCTACATCAAAATGCAAAGGCAGGAAAAAACAAGATGTGACGGTTTTTGAGTGCACAAAGCAAAATCCACAGCATAAGAGTAAGTTAAGAGTGCGCCAGCGCTGTGACCCATTTTGTGAGGGAGCTGCTGCAGCCCTCAGAAGCAGAGCACACAGCACGTGTGGCAGAAGAAGGTAAACGCACAGAGGCACAGATCACATCAGTGCGAGTTAACAGACAGCTTTTAAGCAATATGGAAATATACTCAACAGCAGAGTTGCTCTGGGATTCCTCCACATTGCATGACTACTTCAGCCTAGCACATCTCTTTCATTACTACAGCAGCATTTATTTACAAATGATCCCTTGGAACAAGGTATGACAAAAATAAACTGCCAGAATTATGTGCTGGAAATCAACATCAGTTCCAGTACCAAATGGACTAGGGAGAAATCCATTGCAGCTTGCCTTTTAAAATACACACAACCAAGCATGTCACTGCCTGTTATTTACTCTCACAGGTGAGGTTCTATTTTTGTTACAGTATTTGCCATTGGTAGCAGCGAAAATCTGGGGCCTGCTTCTTATTTACACCAGGGCCACTTTATCTCACTCTGGCCCACCTAAAACCCCCAGCAGAAATCCACAGCAGAGGTACTCATGTACTTCACACAACTGGAGTGCAATGAAGCGGCCTTGGCACCAAATGCAGCTCAGACTTATGGTGCTTAACCAGGGCATGCATGAGGTATGTAAAGCTAAGAAAGACCACAAATGAAAATCATGCTGCCAGAAGAATTCCATGTCCCAAGGCTCTATGAAACTATTTAATAAATTAAGTTCAGACACTGAAGAAACACATCAAGCAAACCTCCAATTATTTTCTTCACGTTTCTGGCTATTTGAAAATAAAGTGAGTTACAAAAGGTAACAACAGTTGACAGAGTAGAAAATGGAGAAGCATCTAGCCTGTAAGATTTAGGTCTCTGTTTTGACTTCCATTTGCCAAATCTGTGAGAGACGTGGTTAACTTTCCACTGAAGAGTCCTCCCACTGTCATTTCACTTCCCTCAGGGTGATTACAAACTGGCATTTCCAACAGTTGTGGGATATTTGCCCATTTGGTGTTTTCAGGCCTTATGACAGGTGCTGTATTGCTTGAGCTACATAATAACATGACAAAAGATGGGATTCAAAGAGAAAGACCCAAGCACCAAGCTCTGCAAAACATTAGCTTGCTTCAACAAGGACAAGAGGACAAGAACTCTTAAGAGGCACAAGGAAGAAAAACCACAGCAGAGCAAATCCTGTTGCTTCTATGCATTTCTGGTCAGTGTTAACAGCAGCCAATGAAACCACAATGGTGTGAATGAGAGCAGAGCTTAGCACAGCGCCTCTGCGAGTCCCATTTTGTTGTTTATGATGACTGACAGGCTGACTGCAGTGTGAAATCACTTCTCACCCAAAACAGTACTACTAAACCAAGACAACAGCTTCTGCAGAGAGGAACCAGCAGATCTGTTTCTTGTAGGGTTCCTGAGCTTCTAAAAAGCCTTTGAGCATTTGATTGCAGCCTGAACACAAAGGACTGGGTTCATCAGTGGGGCCCATGAATGGAACAGTTAATTAAGGCTGTGAATGGTTTTATGAACTGCTGCCTTCAGGAGTTGCTTAGGCAGCCAGCAATCTGTCAAATGGCATCTGCAGATGCTGTGATGTTTTCAAACTGGCCCAATGCTTCCTCAGTGAGTTTCCAGTGCAGGAGAGGATGGGGTTTCATACCCAGTAAGTTCCATGAAAGAACAACACTGGATAATCAAGAGCCAAGGAGGACCTGCTGTCTTTGGTTTACTCCCATCACAGATCTGACCAGGCAGAACTGATTCATAAGCCCTAAGTAACCTTCACATTCTCTGCCTTATCTGTATGGATGGCCTACTCAATAACTGAGGGGATCAACCCAAACTACCCTGGCTTTCCATCACCCAGAGTTGTTCTGCCCCATGTTATTCTGCAGATGCTTTGCCTTCTACACAGAAAAGCACAAGAATAAGAATAACAAGTTAGCTTTCCTCAGCCATGTTCAGCATAAAAAAATAATCTCAAAATGTATGAAATTCTCTCCACCATCTTAGGTTTTAGGCCACTGGAAAATGCAAATCAGCATGCAGTTGCTATTTAAATCTGCTATTAACTGACAAATAGCATCTGATAATTCTCAATCATTAGGATCTCAAGGAGCATATGAACCTGTTTACATATAAAATTGGTAGGTAAGCTTACTGGGAAGGATCATTTTACTAACTGCTAAACAGATTATGCTGTCATTTAGGTGAACACTTAACACTACTAAGCAAGTGGAGTAAAGCAGACATTCATAGAAAGCTGTGGAAGAGGCAACACAGGCCAAATTAAACAATCTGCTATTCACATGCTTTCTGAACAAGCTGTCAGCCACATACTATTTACTTAAGACAACAAGAGGAAAAGAAAACCATACCTGTGTACATTTTCCATGGCTGCTACTTCTGCCAGAGCAGCTAAGCTAAAAAATGCAGACACCGCTGGCATATCTGACGTAATACTATGATTTTCTTCTGTCTCTGTGTTTCTGGAGCATTCACTGTTGCAATCTGTTTCTGCACTTGATGATTTTTGAAGAGTACTTTGTGGCAGCTCTTTTGGCTTCTCCTCTGCAAAGAAAGTTAGGCACACAGATGTAGTACATACATTCACTGCAGCCTATGGATATGCTGATTACCCTGGTGTTAGCAGAACCTTTACCTTCAGGACTTTGATTCTGCCAGTGTCATCTGATTCATCCTGTAACCTCTTCTGACCCAAGCTACTGGGTCAGAAGCACAGTACTAAGGTTTATGAAGTACTGATTTTTGCATTCAACACTGAATTTGACCTTTCAGCTCAGGCAAGAGAGCTTGTGTGTATGTTTTAGATACAGTAGTCCTGAAAGATTATCTTATTGGAGAACTCCAACAAAGACTACTTATGAAATATTATTATGAAATTATGAAATTCAGTTTTACAACATATAACTAGATGCAGTGTACTTTCTTTGCTGGATTGGAAAAAATTTGGAAACAAATTACAAAAGGTAACAATTTTCCATTTCTCTCTGCATCAGTTCACAGTTCTTAAGAGTGAAATATCCAGGGAGAAAAGACAAATTTGGTCGTTCAAATGAAAGAAGTTGGTGATTATAGATTCAGTTATTTCCCAGTTGGTTGATACCTGTACTTTAAATAATGACCATTCTAAGCAGGTATGAAAACAAGCTAATTTAAAAACACTGCCCTGGATAGGTTGCTTGTACCCTCAAACGTTCTCCAACCATTCAGTTTTCATAAAATTTTAACTCAAATTTCCTTACCCAGTGTCCCTGCTGCTGGTGACACTCGCCCATCTGCTGTTCGGACAAGGTGCGTGATCTTAGTTTTCCTTGCTTTCCTTTTCTGGCTGCCAACTAAAGGCTCATGAATCATTGCTGGCTCTGGAGTGTTTAGGGCAGATATAGAAATTTTATTCTTCCAGGGAGACTCACTGGAATTTCTGTCTTCTAATAGTATGGCTGGAAGAGAATAAAAACTCAACTTTAGATGTAGAATAATTCAGCCACTAGCTATGCTCATTTACCATTTTGCATCTATCTGCAAAAAACCGTTCCTCACAGGTACTCAGAGCATAACCCATGGCAAGATATGATCTCAATACCACAGATGTTTGCAGAGAAGTAACAGAATCCACCTTAAAGAGAGACTGAAGGTTCAAGTTTCTAATATTTGCAAAGAAAACTGTGAGATCAGCAGTGCACTTGAGTGGGAGCAGGATATCGCCCTGTAGAAAACATTCTGCAACAGAAAATGTCAGCAAGTGGCTAAAAGACAAAATATATTTAAGGAACAACAAGGGTCCTCACGTAAGCTTATCTTAGCTCACAGACGACTGATAAGCAGGATTCAGCAATTCCTGACTAAAACCCAGTCTTACCTCTTTAGTCACTCTACATCAACTCCTCTAAGAAAGGGAATACTTGAAATTTTACAAAATAACAAACCTTAAAAAACACCCCAAAGGCCTCAAATACAAAGGCAGAACTGGATCACAGCTGAAGACAAGCATGCTAAAAAAAGGAAGTAAGCATGGGATAGAGTATCATGGCAGAAATACTGCCCACATAAAGTCAGAGAATGAGAAAGTAACAGTTTAAATCTTTCTCAGCAGCTCCAGTGTTGGTGTTCTGAAGTAGCCTCTTAGCCTGAATTGGAACACAATCCCAAATTTTTGCTTGACTAAAGAGTTTACTTTAATCTTGCTCACAAAGAAATTGGTCAGACACCAATCACAAAATATATTTAAGCTTCCAAAGTCTGAGCTCAGTGCCTAGTAGTCAATTGTTTGCGATTTGCATTGATTCAATAAGCCATTCTGCTGATCCCACGGAGTCCATAAGTGACTTGTCCACTAGTCCATAAAGGCAATCTGTGACATCTTTTTCCCTCCTGTGATAAAAGTGCTATGAGGCTTGCCCCATCTGTGATCACTGTCAGCTAGGGTTAGAAAAAGGCTACAGGTAGCAAATGGAATGCCCAAGTAATTTTTTAGAAGCCTGTCTAACCTGCTTTGAAATTGGAAACACTCATGATACCTGCACAAAGTTCCTGAGGTATTTTTTCCCAGTACACTGCCATGCTGAATGATTACACATTTTTTCCTAATGCCTGCATCTCATCTCCCCTGCTGCATTTTCAACTCATTATTTTCTTTACTACCTGTCAGGTTATACCCCATCTCTTTGCAATAGCCCTTGATATATTTTCCACAGCTGTTACTGTGTCTACAGTTAGCTTACTCTTCCCTCCAGTTTCTTTTAACCTTTCTCCCCTTTTTAAAGACTTGTTTAAGACCCATTTGTCACTTTTTGTGTGGTTTGACCAGCAAAACTTACACACACACACAGAGAACTGAAGCTGGAGTGCAAACAACTTCTCTTTCAGAAGGGCTAAGAACTGAACAATTCCAATCTCCTGCACTGAGACTGGTGATGTCACACAGGAGCCCCAGCCCCACAAACTGTACAAAACAGTCAAACAGTCTGCATGGCCTTTGCCTTCTTTCATGTTAGTGTGCTTTTCTAATTATTGTTAGTTTTGTAGATTTAATTTCTATTCAAAGATATAGCTAATAAAACCTTTCTCATTGGCTGGCTTCTTTAACTGTTCATTGTGTGAGGATGTGGACTAGATGAAAAGAATAGCTGTAACACATTTCATCTTGTTAGCAGTTGCCCTTTGCTCTTCTGTTTGAATGGGAAGGACTTTTTAATGTTTTATAGTCTAAGAATACAATCAGATCTAGTACATACATGTAAAAACATCTGAAACTTTAATTTGTTTATGATCTTAATTCACCTATGTTCTCCTGTAAAATATTTTCAAACTTGTGTATGTTCTTTATTCAGATAAAAAGCACAGTTTCAATTAGCATTTTGAAGTGCTTAGCTCTAGCTGCCAACCCTTCCAAAGCAGAACTTTGCTGTAAAACTGTTTTTCTGGTAAAGAGCACTCAAGAGAAAGCACAGGAAAAGATCCACCCTGTAACAGTCCAGTTAAATAGAAGCACCAGTGACTGCAAATGTGACTTTCAACTGGGCAACAGTGAGATGTTCAGATAAGCCTTGTGCATCGAGACCAGGATCATAATTGGAATGTATAATTAAATAGGCAGCTTTCTCTCCAGATTTCTTATTTGGGAATTCTTAAGCGTTGATTATATTTTAATGTAATGGTCTGGTTGTAGTCCAACACTATCTGTTAATTCTGATTTGCTCTAATTAGCACTTTGACACTGCTGTCTACTCCTAGCTTGATTGAGTTTATAATGCTTTTAATCTTAGTACTACAACTCACTTTTTTTTTTTTACATCTAATATAAAAATTAAGACATGATTTCAAACAATGAACAACAAGCATTAAAAGAGTCTTGATTTGGTTGGCATTTAATTAGATGTGTTGTATGTCAGGTCACCAGAAATTAACCTGAGCACTACAGCTGAGGGTTCCCTTTTACATTTTTCTTTCTCATATTGTATGTGTCAAAAAAATAAAGAGAAAAAAAATCTTGAAAGGTAAAATAGGCAATAGGAAGACATAAGGAGTATATGATGTTGGCATGTTCAACAAAGAAACAGAAGGTGGTTGTAGAAACTCAGATGCAGTAAGTATATTCCCTCTCCATGTTTTTGTATTGTTCTATATTTCCTCTCCAAGATTTTTTTTTAATCCTTGAAATGAGACTTGAAAGTTGCCTACTTTCCTTTTCTCCTCTAGCTCTAAAAGAAACTATCACTTCAACATAACATTGCTGCCATGCAGTCTTGAAGAAGGAAGGAGTGAAGGTGAACAATGAGTATTTTGTGTGTGGGTGCAGGGTGAATGTAAGAGCATCTTTTTCTCTTCTCTAGCAGTCTTAGTGGACACTGGGCTTAGAAATCATTTCACTGACTTCTTTACAGTATATTATCCAAGTAGACATAAAACTTAACTTGGAAATCACACAAAGGCTTCACTCACAAGACCCTTTGCACTCACCTCTAGAGGAGAAAGGAGTCTATGTTTCAACAACTATACATCTAAACTATGTGCTCCTGCACATCCTTCAAGGGGAACAGCATCCCACTGCTTCAAATGAAAAAGGTATATCCACATAGATGCTCCAAATCAGGACCTGGTTTTGTTCTGCAGGAAGGACAGGGCTAGACAGGTTTGATTCCCTATTGTTTTCTTTAATCTATCTGATGTCCATTCTGCTTCCACGCTGTCCTGCATTCAACAGCTATCCCATAAGGAGCTCAGCTAATTTTCAGGAGAATATAGTCTAGACATGAAATGAGATTCTGCAGTTACTGTGCAGTCCTGCCAACAGGTAGGTGCATGCTCAGCTCTCCATGACAGGCATGGGCAGAGCTACTGGGCTATTTTCACAAGCCGAGTTGAGAACATGGCATGAAGGTGTGGGCCTTCAGGCATGCCTACACCCCAGTGGCAGAAATGACTCTGAGAGAGACATATCCAGGTCTATGCTAGATGGTTTCCTCAGCTAGCTTTGTTGAAAGTTCAAATGGATGGTTTATCCTATTCTGCAGGCATGCAGAGTACGTCTAGTTTTATTTCCCCCATATCTTTGTGAACAAGAAAAATGAAGTCAATTGAACTGACTCAGCACACCACAGCTTTTCAGACCAAATGCCAATAAAACACAGACTTAAAAGAATTTCTTTAGTAATGACTGTTATGAGAGAGAGTTGCAGGAGTCTGACGACACTTAGAAGAGAACAAGTGCTCTGTGGGTCTAAGCATGCTGGTATCAAGGAAGAAAGGTGGTCTGTAATGATTTAATTGTCCTTATGAAGTTAAACAGTGAAAATCTAGCCAGGCAGAGCACAGCTTCAAGTCACCAGTGTCTACGGAACCACTTCACCAAGGAAGTGATGCCAAACAGACTGACCTGGCAGAGATTCCAACTCTTCTCACAACAGGACACTGCTACAATACTGCTTTGGGGCCAGGTAGCACACAGAGATGCAGCAAGGACTGGGGACTAACAAGCAGAGATACAAAGCAGCAGATGGTCAAACCAGGTGTAGGAGACAGCTGCCTGGGCAGGAAGCTCTGCTGCAGGAGCCTGTGCTGATCCAGCCCTCCTCCAGCCAGAGTGGTTGCCAAAGGCACAGAGCTACTGGCTCCCTCTGGGCTGCAAGCCCCACAGAACAGGGCTCCGATGTGTGTGGGAGAGCTGCTGTAGGAGCAGGCGCAGGGACAGGGCTGCTTCACGTGTGAGCTGGTGCTGAGACCAGTGTATGTGATCATCCTCTCTTCTCCCCTTCCTGTGCCAAGGCCAGTGTTAGAGCTGGCTGCTACACAGACCATGCAAGAGCCTCAGCACAGCTCACTAAGTGTACCTGCAAAGAGGCAGTCACTGTGACTTGTTATTTTAAGTACTGCTTCCCATCAGAAAGCTTTGTTGGTATGGCAGAAAAATGAAACTCCCAGATGAGCATTAACTTTCCCAAACAGGCATGGGTCCTGTGCTTCTGTCAGCCTTCCTAAGGAAGAGATGTGTCTCTTGACATATTCAATTGCATTACTGTGTGCCCTCTGTTGTGTTCCACTGCTGTTTAACTGGGCTGTACCCTGCTCTATGAACAGCTGCAAACTCTTAATATGGTGACATGCACTGGTGCTGCCGTGTACAATGTGGTCAAAATTCACTCAGATTTTCATACCAGAGACACATAGACACCACAATACAATCACATTTAATCTCCTTTACTGCACTTACTTTCCTTCACTCCTAACAGATGCACACAGGCACACACACTTTTCAAGATGAAAAAAATATGAAGTCAACATGACCTCTGCTGACAGTAATCCTTCTAAGTGTCTCCTCTGCAGCTATATAAACATTCAAGCTCTTTCTTTCTGCAAAATTAACTTAATAAAAACAAAAACTGCATATTATGTAGACTTGTGACTCACCACAAGTATAGATTAACCACAAAAAGGAATCAAAATTTTCATTTATTGTTTGATTCACAAAATGCTTAAATAAATATCTGAATTGAAATGAAGATTCTGGGATTCCCATCTTGAATGCTGCAGCATATGGGACAGCTCAGCTACATGTTTTAGGGCCTCTTGCCTAGGAACTCCTGGATGGAGGATGAAGATCTGTAAGCAGCATATGAGGAAGAGGCTGTCCAGCACCTGCCGAGGCCATGCCCACACTGCACTTTGCTGATCAACACTTTGCTTTCAGTCACTACAAGGTACACTTCAGAGTAGACAAGACTCCAAATTTTTTCCCCTCTGTAATTCAGGGGAAAATGCAGTTCTCTATCGATATACAGACATCCATTGGCTTTCCTCTGATGATTACATGCGGGCTGTGTAAGGCTTCTAAGTTGCTCATTTCTTTGCTTTAGTCTTGGGAGGAGCTTAGCAAGCTGGTTCTGTCCCAGCAAATGCACAGACACACCTTTAATGTTTAGACACTATGACATTATTCACATGCCTAGCTTCCAAGGATATGCCTCTGTGTTGTGCTGGAACAAGGCCAGGGTACTCAACACTTGCCAGGGCTGAGTCTTTGATCATAGTGCACACTTCACTTTGTATCAAAACATGCTGGCTTCATTTAAACAAATGCAGGGTTTGACATTTTGTTTACCCATATTTTTATCTGCAGAATCTAAGGCAGATGTATTTTTTACTCTTTACTTAATCATCTGTTAGAAACTTTCTGTTTCTTTTCCCCAGGAGAATTTAAACACCCATTTTTCTTAATAATTTGTCTACATGGTCTATTAATAATTCAGGAACAAAATCTGAATGACGCCAAATCAAAACTATGCTAATGTATGATGCCTTTTTTACACCAACATGGAAGCAAGACAGTTATTTCTCACAAGCAACTCCCACAACATATTTGTTGTACAAATACAAGACAGAGCAAGTAGTTTAAAATGATTTGCACCATGGAATGCAGAAGAGCAGGCAGAGTCTATGTGGGAAAACAGTGCATGTGCAACACAGATGACAGAAAACACACCACCAGGAAATGGACAAGTCTTAGGAAAAGATATTAACCATGAAGGTAGCTAGGGAAACTGTAGATGGGAAGGACAATTTTATTATCCTAGAGAAGAACATGGGTGGGGAAGAAACCAGAAAAAATTCATTAAGTAAGCAGGACCAGAGAGGTTTTTCTATACTACAGGAACATTACAGGAGAGAACACTACTGTGGAACAGCTAAGGAACAGCCTGGGCATGACTTAAATAGTGTTGGAACATGATGGCAAAAGAAAAACGGCCCAGCAAAGCAGGCTAAGCTGTAACCCTGTACATGCTGTACACTTGAAAATGCCCCTCAGAGTTGTGAGTTCATAATATGCAGGATTATGATACTGTAACAGGAAGAAGACTTTAGAGAGCCAACAGTGGATAGCAGGCAGAAAAGGTCTAGAACATAACTTTAAAAATGGCAGAAGGTATTTTCAATGTGAAGCAAACATAAAGCTGGTTTAAGATTTCTACAGAGGCAGGTTTGGAGGTTGATATTTCTGAGATCTGGTGCAGAAACAAGCATTTGCATCCTGACCAGGCTCTTACACCAGCTTGACCAGCTGCAGTCTGCTAAGTTCCAGACAGCAAGAAATCATAGGAATAGGAGACAGGGACATGCACAAATGCTCTGGCAAAATAATATGGTCACTGATACAGAAGGATGCAGATAAGAGCAACCTAAGGACTACAGAGCTATGAGCTGAAGAAGATAAAAGTTTTCAGGGCCAACTGCAGAACTGCCCTTGCTTTGTCAGCTCTGCTGCATGGCATCTGGAGCAGGGAAACTGTAATTAAAGGTAAAAACAAAACAGCATCATACTGAAGCAAGGTGATATCAACCGGAGCCTGGAGGCAATGGAATCATAGCAGACAGAGACAATAAGGAACCAGTGATCAAAGACTAGAGAGCTGAGGTGTCTCTGTCTAGAAGCATTTCCCCAAGACTGAATTGAGAAAGAAGGCAGCCAAAAACCTTAATTAAGGAATGCACCAGTACCTGTATCCGGAACATTAAGCTTCTTTCTGTGCTTAAATTTGCTGACAATTTTGTGGAATAAGTTCTTTTTCTGAGACTGGAATGAACCTACAGACAACATTAATAATACATACTTTTAATTAGAAGCTTGAAAAAGAGTACAACAGTCACAGTATGTACTGAACAACCTCCCCTTCTGATAACACAAGTTGCTGTTTGACGGGGAAGCACAAAACCTGACCTTCTGCCCGAAGGGACTCTGGAGGCTTTCAGCAAGCTGTAGTTCAACCCACCACCTCCCAGTGTTTAAGTGCATACAATGCATTTTGGGGAATGAAGCCCTTAGGAAAGCTTAGCCATCCAATAAAACAGGGGGCTTTCTTGCTTGTTTAAAGATACGCTCTCTTTTACATGTATATTGGGCTTGGCTGGCAAGGTGTAAACTTATCAGTGCTGGAAACACAACATGGTTTAGTTACTCCTGAGCACTGAGACCTCTCTCATGGCACTCCAGCAAGTAGGCAGAGGGTGTTCAAGAGGTTGGGAGGGGACATAGCTGGGACAGCTGACCCACACTGGCCCAGAGACACTTCACACCATACTCAGCCCAGGAGTGTGGAGAAAGGTTTTTTGAAGTTGTCCATTGCTCAGGCACTGGCTGCACATCAGTTTGTTAGCGGTGAGTGCTGGCTTTTGCATTACTTGTTTCCTCCCTCCAACTTATGAAACTGCCTTCTTCTTGACCCAGGAAGTATTTTTCCTTGGTTTTGCCCTTTGTATTCTCTTCCACCTCCCACTGTGGGAGTGAGCAAAAGGATGGGAACCTGCTTACCAGCCAGGGCCAACCCACCACAGGACACAAGAGCTATCACTGCCCTTCTGGTGACCAGAAATGAGAGATACTAAGTGCAAAAGTAAAAGCTCCCTGAGGAGGAAGGTGAGGTTATGTCCAGCTCATGGTATCATTCCTACTTTGCCAGCAGTCTTTACTAGGAGTAGACATCTTGTGTAACATTGGACCACAAAACATCACTATCAGAGGTCATCAAGAAGTTACCCTTTGCCTCATTAGGGGAGCAACCAGTAATATAACAGCAACATAGGCAGGAAAGATACATAATCTCCACAATGCAAAGCCAATTTTAGGGAGTTTACAGAAACAAAACTTCAAAATCTTATTTCTAATGACACAGTAGACAAGCAAGTCTTCAGGCTAGTTCAGAACAGACCAGTACAAACAGAAATGAAATGCTGTGTATGTGACAAGATGATTTATAGCCTAACAAGCGTCTCTCTAGCTCACCTGGAACAGGATTCTACCCACCACAAATACTGGCCTTTTCCATTCCTCCTAATCCTTAAAAGGACCCAGACACACACACTGGCTACTGGGACACAACTGCAACCATACAGGAATGTGCAATCAGAGTAAGTCTACATTATACATCTGCAATTTGCCATCTCAGCCTCCGTATGCAAGGAAAGAAAGAGTGTGTAGCACATGCAAGAAGTATTTAGTCTTACAAAGTGAAAGCCATTCACAGACACTAGGCTGCCTGATCAATACTGAAAATTACTGAAAGCTAAAATCCAGCCAGAGGCAGGCACAGAAACTTTAACATCTTGCACATGTTGGCTTTGTGGCTCACTGCTACTTCTTTTTTTAATAAAGAAGAAATCAAAACTTTGGAGAAAGATTAATAAACTTCCAAAAATGAAGTCAAAAAACAAACCAAATAAAGTCCAACCAGGAGATCATCTTAGGCAACATCAAGTTGAATCTGAACAGCTTCACTAGAACCTGTATAGAAAATACCAGATAGTACAACAGAAGAGGCGATATTCACTCAAACTTACTGCTGCAAATTTTACAGCTTCCTGAGTATCACAGAGGACTAGTCTAGTGTTAGTGCAACAAAAATGTAAAACAAGGAATGAAAAAGCTCAGTGAGCTTGGGCAAAAGCCTAAGTGAAAGAACTAAGCTTTCCTTGATACCAAGTTCAAATACTTCATCCACATCAACAAGAACAAGTCTTCCCACCAGTTCCACAAGAAGACAGAGGTACATAACTATGTGACTCTTGTGACATTTTTATTATTATTTTTCAGTTAGCTGATTAGTGATTTTTGCAGATGCTTGGAAGAAGCAACATGTCACATATCACCCGTGTTTCCATTTCTATGGCTCAACCTGCACCATACAAACCATTTCAATCACTATCACAGACAGTCAAGCCAGTGTCAGCAACTCTAAGCAGAATAACTGAGATGAAAAACTAAGAAAAACATAACAAGCATTGCACAGAGGGGGAAACGTGTGTTTGGCATCTCTTTATTCCCCATTGAAGGCATCTTTGTCATCAGCCTGCACTTGCAAAATGCCGCTTTCCCCTACAGAAAATCCAAGGACTTTAGTAGGGCTGATAGAAAAGCTGCCTTTTAGTAAGGAAACTTCCTATTTCCTTCCCTTTTAGTTGTTACTCCTGTGAGACAGTGCCCAGTGACACTTAGAATACCCTTTGGCCATAAATGCCTTGGAAGAGAAGAAGTGCTAATAGCTAAGTAAGTCAAGAGTTCATACTTGGACTTGACAATGTAACTTCTGACTCCACGAGAAACTTCATCCACACTCTCAGCCTTAACAGTGTAGGCAGAGTCACCATGCAGGAACTGACAGGATGCCTGTCTGGGCTACACCTGTTTCATGGAGACAACAGGCAAGTATTCCAAGACTTTCAACAAATGCCAGCTGTGAACATTCAATCCAGAGAAAATCCCTGACTGAAAAAACTAACCTAAAAGTCTTGCTGTGAGGCAATGGATCCTAGATATGATTTCCTATAGAAAGCTGAGAAAACCCTTTTAATGGTAGTTTACTTGACATTGTTATACAGCCATCTACTTATCTTGCTCTGTTGGAAATAGTCTACACAGCTATTCCTCTCCCTAGCACTTCAGCAATTGCTACAGGATTTAATCCCTTGTCCATTGTGCTCACTGAGGGCAGTAGGGATTTCTCCTGGGAATACTTGCTGTGGCCAGTGGCAGCTGCTCAGGGAAGCAGCAAGCAAGAAAATGAACCACAATTGCGTTTCCTCCAAATTTCTGTGCATATGCCTCTTTTGCTCTCACAAAGTTCCCTATTTTTATTAAAGGATCTGATCAAATAGAGGACGTTTCAACAAGATCCTAACAAAATCAGGACAAACAGTCTGTGCATTTCTGCATCTCTCAGAGGAAGGCACTGTATTTTTAGGTCATAATCCTTGGAACGTTACAGCATGAAATCTCCAAGCGTCTGAATGCTTTGAACCGAGCCAAAAAAACCCCAGAGCTAAGACCAAGAGGAATGCCACAAAGCAGCATCCGTTTTAAGCTGATGCTTTATTTCCAGTCCTAGAGGCCACAGACAAAAATAAAATAAAATTAAGACAATCTCTTCCCCAAATAAAAGCACACTGCGCATTCCCCTTTGCCTTCCCAAAATGAAAGGTTTAACGCGGTGCTTGGTGTATAAGTGAGCATTTCTACACAGTACAAAGCAGAAATAATGACTCTGCCTGTTGCTCACTTTTGCATACAAGCAGATTAGTGACTCACTGCAGACAGCTGACTTCTGCGTGGTGGGATGTTTTGGCACATATACCATTGGAAAGAAGGAAAAAAAAAAGGAAACAGTCACAGATCCAGTAAATGTCGGAGAAGGCCATCTGCAAAGATTCAGTATAGCTGTATTCTTCAGCCATTTTGTGACATTATTATTTTATATGCACATTCCCAGTTCACAACACTTGATGTGGATTTTGACAAAGCTTTATGGCTTGTTCAGTCCTGCTCCCAACGAAAAAAGACCCGCAATCCTTTCAGTGGGAGCAGAATTAAGACAATTTGAAAACTGTGGGGAAAAAAAACACCTCTCATTTAAGAAAAGTTCAGATTTTCCTTCATACATGTGGATGTGAAACAGCTTTTATATTACAGGCTTCTTCAGGTGTTTTTATGTGAGAGAACTGGCTGAAGTGTAGACTGGACATGATGAGCACAACAGAAGAAGTCAGTGGACAATGCATTACTGATTTTCCACTTCAGAGCAGGAAAACATCCTGACAAACCTGGCTGTGTGGATAGGTAGCAGATCAAGCCAGTTGTAGGTATAGGATAATGACATTTGGCAGAAAATCAATCCAGCACCATTTACTCCAAAATAAAACCTATTAAAGCATACAGTTATAGTTGGAGGTGGGCTGCAGAGAAACACCTCAAACCCAAAAAACTAAAACATTTCTCTATTTTTATTCACCCAGCATTTTGGGGAAGGTTTAGAGAGCAGCACTCCAACATATTTCCTAAATTTGTATGTTTAGTAGACACTGTAGACTTTAAAAATAAAATAGTTATCTGTGCTGAGTGAAAACGAGTGGATAGTTTATAATTCTGCACATGCTCATTCAAAAAAAGCAGCACATTTCAAGGAGTGCTTATTTAACATATCCCCTACTGATTTTTATCTGTTATTTGGAAACACCCAGAGGCCCAAAACACTTGTAGACACTATTTGTGCTGGACTACTCTTCTAATTACCTGACAGAGATACACCCAAGGAAAAGCCACACAGAAGAAACAACTCCACACAACACAGTAATGCAGAGCAGTGTGAAGTTAAGGTCTCCCACATCCAAACACAGCCACACCCATAGGACCATATTGACCCTTCATGGTTCATGCTCATTGCATAAAAATAAAATGCTACTTTTGTTTAAATCTAATGGTACAATAAAGCAGGACAATTCAAAAAAACCCACAACCACACCAAACCAAGCTCTATTATTTTGCATGATATGTCAGTTTAATTTCCTGCAGTACTTGCAGTAGCCTAGCACACAGACCTGCTTGCGCTATACTTTTGGAGGCCAGGGTTCTCTGAAAGAGTCTTTATATTCATCACACTTCACCAGACAACTGCACAATATGGCTCAATAGCCTATCAGTACATAACAAATTAAACTCAGGATTCAGCTTAATAAATGTTTGACTCAACTGGAACAAACCTTACTAAGCTAGTAAGCTCACTTGTATGCACTTGAGGTTAGATCATTTCAAATCCACAACTCCCATCTTGTTTTACACATCCTAAGAAAATAAAACACATTTAAAATTGATCTACAGCCATGAGATATTGACTTTTTTAGCAATCCTTCTTTTCCAGAAGAAAAATGGTTTGTTGGAAAGTTTTTTGAGTACCTCTTGAGAGCTAACTGAACCCTGCTCTTCATGGAGTTGGAATGACTGCCACAAAACTGTCAGCTTGCCCAGCAGAAGTGTGTGAATTCAACATTTAGTGGAATTAGGAGCAGGTATCACTAGCTCTGTCTGGATTTAGTCTGGGGCTGTGGTTAGCTGTTCACTGCTGTTCAGAAAGAGCAGTGTTACTATCTGATATTCCTGCCCTGGGGCTGCTTGTTGCAACCCCACAGCTCAGTTGGTGGAAAAGTTCATGTGACTGTTTACCATCTGCTCAGTGCAAAGTCAGCTGGCTTAATTTAAAGAGCCCTTATTGTCAGCCAGAGGCAAATGCTCCATGACTGTCTCTGCAGGGCTGTGCCAATGCTACTCATATCAGGCTTGTAACCAGCCTGCAGTTATGTTTTTGACCTTCCCTTGAGACAAGGCCAAATATATTCCGAAGCTCTTTAAGTGATGCTAACAAAGATAAAAACTCTCCTGTATGAGCCTACCCAAAAGCAGAATGTGCTTCTGGGCTACCTGGCTTGAGGCAGAATTTTAGCCCACCATTCCCTAACACAGGGCCTGCAGAATTTTTAAACATACAGACACTTGAACAGGTAAATACTGTAGTGAGAAATCCAGTGAGCTGCTACTACAACTTCAATTGCAAGATCACTGTAGTTAAGAGATTTTCTTCCCAACAGATGTTGCTTAATTACCAGTGGGTTATCATACTGTAAAGCAATTCATTCAAGCTCATTTAAGAAGTTCTGTCAAATACATACCATAAAACAAAATTAAAGGCAGCTCGAGTCAGAACTAGCTTGGTATTAGCACAAGTCTAATTTTGCAAAGTGGCTGTTCCACATCTAATTACAAAACTCAATACCAAAATTAGCATGCACTAGAAAAGAACAGCTGCTCAATCCTGCACACTGTAATGTGATTATTTGTGAAGCATTCAAAAGGCATAGATCTAATCCAGGGTCACCTGGCTAAAACAGCCGTATTAGATCTTAAAACCTGTCAGTCAGTGGAACTACCATTGTTGCAGAAAAGGAAACCAACTTCACATTGCAAACTGTGCCTGATGAGGATCCTTTTGAGCATCCTTTTGTCTTGTGGAATTACTGGTATATAATTCCTTAAATCTGTGATGCTTCTATACTGTATACATGCATCTTTATTTCTGCCACAGTATAAAAGTAGTTTTACCCTACCACATTGTCACTTCTCTATCACCTCTGTGTCACAGGTTGCCTGTATAAAAAAATAGCCTAGTGTGTCGTGACTTTCTCCCTCCATGAACCTCAGCAATGGAGCTAGGTATGGAATTGGTTTCCATGTCCTCTAACTTTTTTTTTTAATCACATCAGGACCTTTTTGTTCGAAACTTATGACAAAATTATGATTTTAATAGAACGAAAAATTCCAGATGTTTCATTCAGACATCTCTGGTATCTTACATTTTAATTTACAGGCTCTAAAATGACAGTGAAACTAGAACTAGCATAAAAGCAAGCTTAGAAAAATGTCAAAATGTAACCTTTGATCATAAACCTTTTTCCCCCCACTTTCTCCTGGGAAAACTTGTCAAAATCACTTACTTCAAAAATATTCATGTTTTTGAAAAACTTTCTTGCTACGAGAAATACATTTTGTATACAAACTCTACCCAGTTCTACTTATCATGAAAATCAGGAATAAAGAGTGAAAACAATCAGTCTGAAAATTAAATCAGATGAGAACCAACTAACTTCAGTGCTAGGGAACTTCTTTGACTTCAGACTTTTCTCAGGTAACAGTAAAGTAAGAATGTATAAAATCCTGAGCTTGTCACAGCACTGCTGTTGTTTAAGAATGTCCCACACTTGGCAATTTACCTTTGTTGGGTTTTGGTAGTTCACATGAGCCGCTTCCAATCTTTCGCTTTTTCCTCGAAACAGCTGAATTTTTCCTGTCAAAGGTAATAGGACTGTATTGAGGGAGGCTGTTGAATTTCTTTGCAAATTCTTCTTCCAATTTTGCTAAGCTAAATGGGAAACAAAACCATTCAAATTAAATGTAACTCTTTCTCAAGAAATAAATGTATTGTTTAAGAGCATGCATGTGTATACCACACACCCTTCCACACAGAAGGGAAAACCAGCTAAGTGCACACACTGTAAACACCAAACCAGTATGTATCAATCCAGCTTTGGAATGAGAATATACATTTCTGCTCCTGCATTTGTAACAGCGCAAATTGATTACCTTAGTAGCATATGTTAAAATTAGAAAAAAAATAATCAATGTCATACTGGTGACATTTAGCTCTGTTAGCTGCACAGATTGGTACAAGAGATTTGTCTGTTCTGTGAGGGGAATGAACAAAGACAGTAAAACCAATAAATTAACCAATAAAATAACTTCACATAAAAGTTCTTACACCAGAATGAAAACAGCATTTCAAACCAGAAGAAGAATGTCAAACTAATCAATCTTCTGTGGATATTCTGAAACATGAAGCTTTGGGGTGGGAATTAGTCTCGTATTTGTTCTGGGTGATTACATTTTCTCCCCATATATTTCATTTGCTGTGAGATGAAAAATGCAACTAGATTATGCTTTCATGAAACCCAACACGCCTCATACTGCAGCCCAACCTGAATGATTGCCAGCAGATTAACTACAACTCAAGAAATCCACAGGCAAGGTACGATTGCTCTTAATAGTCAAAAGAAAACAAAGCACACAAGAGAGGATGGCACAGCATTTCCAGCTGTAATGACTACACTGACTTGCATAAGCACTCTGTTCCTGCAAATTTTTGCAGCCAGGGAGAAGTAGAAATTGTGTTTTAGTAAAAGGCAGTGCACACAGGCAAGTTATAAATAGCACTGTCAATGATAGGGGAACAATGACATTTTCCACTTGGTTTTAATTTTCCTTGCTATGAAAAACCTCAACTTGACAGAAGTTGGCACGACTGTTGGCAGGACGGCCCTAATACACTTGGAAGTATCACAAGAAACATGGTACTCCTCTCTGCTTTCTGAAGCAGCACTTCAAACAAATTGCATTCTGAAAGCTTTGGTACACAGAATGATACCTCAGTTTTTCTCTGTAATTACTACTTCTCTCAGTAAGCAATTTTCCATCTTAAAATGTGTACAGAAAATACAGCCCTGGCTCTTTGCAGACCAGGCGCACGGTGGGGTTTGCTTGATTGTGTACACACGGTTTATTTTGGTTTTAAATCACAAAGGTATCTGACATCAGTAGTGCTTGGTATTGCTACCTTGTTCTCTTCCACATGCATGTTCCCTGACAACCACAAAACAGACCGATTTTCTGCTCTGACAGCTGTCATGCAATGTCATCCTCTGCCTCAGCTCCTCTCCCCCTGTCTGTTCCCACCTGCCTCAGCTCCTGCTCCGAGGGAATGTGATGGGCTGCAGCTCTAATTGGGAAGGGCAAACCTCATTTGACAGTGGATGAGCTGCCATCCTGGCTAGTAATTTATAAATTGTGTGACGTGCAGGCAATGGGGAGTGCTGCTAGCTCTGTGTCAGTGATTAATTATTTAAAGAAATAAAAATCATCCCCACTGTCATGAATTTTAAGAGCCTCTCAGAAGCCTGGTTAGATGTGTGCAGCAGAGCTGAGGTGTCCATGCTGCACAGCCTGCTCCAGCCAGGAGATGCAAGGAGGTAGAGCCCTGCTTGGCAAAAGAGTGGGCTGTACGTGGGGAAAGCACATCTGACCCAGCCCATCAGGGAAATGTGGGAAGCTACTGATGGGGAAGGTAAGAAGACACAGAGAAAACAACGTAATTCTGAAGGGGTGAGGGACCTTTCACCAACACAAATGTACAAAATGAGGCTGAAATGTGATGCTGAAGGGAGCAGAGGGAGTTAACTGGAGCAAGTAGAGGTAAAACCAGCTCCTCAAGCAGCCAGAAGCTTGGATAATGAATGCAATGAAAAGGAATACGGCATGCCTTCTTCAGCACTTATGCTTCAGAAAATCTTAATTCTGCCTTTACAGAGTTAACTAAATAATATTTATCAATGATGCAACAGAGTAAAGATGAGAGATCGGAAAATATGTATTTCCTCATCCAGCCAGCTAATGAGGGTAGAACAGCACTGAATGAATGATTTAGACAATTTTCCTAGCTACTTTGAATAAATAATTTACAACTACTTTTTTTATGCTACAAGATGTGATCAGTTTTCCCACCATTATGTGTGAAAAGTTTTCAATCTTCCAACTTAAACTTTAAAATATTTCCAAAACTTATACAAAACTCTAAAAATACAGTGTTTCATTTTTTCTAAACTAATTCTTCTTTGACTATTCCAATAAACAAGACTTGGGGATTCCCATTGTTTTAATAGCTTTGCTGAAAGTGAGCTGCAACTAGATATCACATAGACTAGGTTGTAAAAAAGGGCACTGCAAACCTGCAAAACCAAACATAGTATTATTTTAAGTGTGAAATATGGAAAAACTTCTCCTTTAAAATTAATTTTTCTGTCTTCAAGAATTCGCAAGTATGAATGGCTACCCAGATTTAACTACTGCACCTGCAGCTAATAAATCTGTAATATTCTGACAAAAATCATTACTTGTATTCTAGAAAAGTAATTCTGTGCAGCCTTGCTAAATTTAAATGCATCTATACTCATTAATTGTTTTTAGGATATATTTAATTTCATCATGGTGGACATAAACAGTTTAAGTATCTTTTCTTTAAAGATAAGGTATCAAGAGAAAAATGACATATTTATCATAATTATTTGCCAATATAAGAACATTGTTTACTATTCCTCTGTAAGCAATCTCTCCAAGTGGGCAAAGATATCTATTTTTTCTAGTCTAATCTGGTTTATGATGATTGACCACCTACATAGAACTTTAAATAGTGCTTGCAAAGTACTCTGAAAATGTAAGTAACCCTTTTCATCGCTTTTTGAGCAGGTAAATATTGTGTGGTTTGTTTAGAACTGAGCAAATAACATCATTCAAATGGTGTTATACACCATCATACAGTGGTGTAAACCAGCAAGGATCTTAAAGGCATTACTTTGCTATATAAAAGACAGGTATTTAGAGCATGACTCAGCCAACAGGGTTTTTTATTTTAGGAATTGTGTTTATTTGGGTGTTAGATGCAGCTCACTTAGCTGCAGTGAGGAGGACTCACTCTTAAATTATTAGGCTGACCTAGATAAAACATCCAACCATGTCAAGCCACAACTTACCCAAAAACAAACTCTTCCTTTGGCTTAGTCTTTTTCAGTTTTTTGTTCCCACTTGTCCCACTTGGGGAAAAGGCCCAGATTTCTTCATTCCAGCATCCTTCATGATCAGAGGAGTTACCTTTTCCTGAGCTTCTTTTTCCTGTGATGAAGGCAGAAAATTGTTTCCCATCTTTAGAAAAATGTTTCAAAATAAGGTAAACTCAGAAGAACCTTGTGTTACCCAGTCACTACTGCAACTGATGAAGCCTGACCTTTTTGAAGGCAGTTACAAAACATTTTTCGTTTTAAAATGGGCAATGATGATATTGACAACTATTCTGCATCCCCTGTCCTGTCTTTTCCTGGACTACCTCAAAAGTAAGGATCTCCTAAGGTATAAAGAAGAAAGAGATGAAGAGATACACAGTAATAAGCTTCCCTAAATTACAAATGTCTTTTTTCTTTTCTGACTGTTCTAATTGCGCATATAAATCTACCAGCTGGAAAAATACATTTCCACACATCTCACTGAAAGCTTCCAGAAATTATCTCAAATTTGTCCTTCCACAAGATAAAGGGTTCTCACTTACTGCCTACAGCAAAACTAACAACCAAAGCAAAACCAGAACCCATTTGCTTCTTGGAGGACTGAGAACTATGCTCACAACCACAAGAGTTGTTTATGTAGAAACAAGGTAACTGTTTGGGGTTACATGCATCACAAGTCTTGCACACACCTATCAGCAGGCTGACAAATTAAACAACAAAGCCTTCAGTCAAGAAGTTAAAACTCAGATCATGAAAGATGGAAATAGAGCAGTTAGGAGCTTGTGAGATAAGCAGGAACACAGGTCTCAAGACTTCAAAAGACCTGCCCTGGAACATGGGGTCCAGCCACTCCACCTGTCCCTAGCAACTCAGGTGGCCAGACACAACATTCCCACTGCTCACTGCTCGAACTCCAGCTTCAACATGGACTTCTGCTTTTCCTCCCACTCCAGGCAGGCTTTTGCAGTTCATGCTGTAAACAAAACACTCAGAGCCACCCACCTCTGTCCACATTAGCGCGCAGGGATGTGAGCATGCCCTCTGACACCAGAGTTTTATAAAGAGCACCTTTGCAAGATCTCTCCGATTTCCTGGAACCACAGGTTTCTATCTTTTTAACACAGTCACTGTCCTCAGTTTTGACCTGTTCTGGTAAGCTTTGGGGTACCACCTCCTCTGTTGGGGTCAGCGGTTCCACTTTAATGTTATCAGAAGCCTCACACGGTACCTCCTTGCCAGCTTCAATACTAAGGAAATCGGGAGGCTTTGATTCTTTGGTGGTCTCCATCGGTTTCTCCTTTGATGTTTTCTTCTCTTTCGATTTCACTTTTTTCTTTGGTGATTTTGTATCCAACATGCTTCCCTTCACATTTGAGACAGGGCGGTTTTTTTTGCGGGGGGTATCCGCGAGTCTCTCAGCACCCCAGTCCCCCTTGGCCACGGCTTCAATTGTGTACATTACACTCTCAATGTCCGACTCGGAGGACTGCCTCTTTTTACAAGATTTCTTGGGGGTGGATTTTTCATTTGTGTGCCGGTCCAACTTATTTTTTTTCTTTTTCTTCTTTATCTTTTCTGGCTTTAACCCAAGCATAGTCATGTCACTCATGAAAAGCTCCGGAGAACGGCACATGTGATCCTTTGTGTTATCCTTTCTCTCAAAAGGACTGTTTTCCATTGCAAGACTAGTAAAATCTCTGCATTTTGAAGTTTCTGATTCCACAGCTTTTGTTTCATCCAGGTTTTGCATTTTCTCTATCTCTGATTGTTCTACTTTTCCTTTACTGGAGTCTTTTACTGTTGTTTTCTCCAGTTCTACTTCCATGTCTTCTGAAACTTCTCCTTCCTCATCTTCCAGTGCTTCCACTTTTGTTTTCCCAGGTTCTTTCATTTTCACTCCTTCTGAAGCAAGGCACATCTAAAATAAGTTTATAAACAGTCCCATGAAAATAAACATCAACTGTTAACATTACTTACTTATAGTAATTACTTACTATACTTACTAATAGGAGCCTAGTACAGGACAGTACTGAGAAACTGGCTGAAGCCCTGCTGAAACTGATGCAATGGGATGAGGGCTAAGTGTTAGAATAAGGCTGGTGGGTTCTATTGCTCTACAGAAAAAGACTCCAACTCAGTGGTGTTTTCTTTAAGGCTTTTTGTATAATCTGAAACCCTGCTGCTAGATGGATTTTCAGAATATCCAAAATGCAACAGAACAGAGTTGTCTCTGACTATTACCACAGACAAGCTACTTGAAATTTCACATCCATCCCCCCTTCAACTTTCAAATGTCCCTAACACAATTCCTTTCTCCTTTTTCCAAATGGCCTTGAAGGAGGGAAGGAAAAAAACGTTTACTGAATCTCACTAACTGAAATTATTTTCTTTTACTTGAATGTAAGAAATCATTTTGAAGGTAGTAAAAAAGCCTTCCAAATTTTTCTTCTCGTGTAACAGACTTATTTTGCAAAGAACTGCAAAGCAGCAGTGGTTGCCATGGTTATCTCCTCCTGGATATAACACTAATGGAAACCAAAATCCTTACACTATTTGAGGAACATCGATATTCAAAAAAAGAGCTGTCAGAAGGTCCTCAAACTGCCACATTCCTGCTGACTTGGGAGATCCTCTCTGTTTTGGATCACCTGTAAGCTATGTGGACACCTCTACAGAAGGTAGTCCTTCACGGCACCAACCAACTGCCCTTGGGAAGACATGCTTTGTTCTTACTGTCCCCTCTCAAAGCCCCCAGGCTGAATTCCCAGTCCAGTTTTGTTTTTAGAACAAATGTCAACCAGTCACCTGGAGCAAAACCAGATGGAAGAGGCTTGCTTTGAACCAGACATCAGAAGGTACCCACAGCTCAGCCCACAGGCCATGTGGTCAGTATGGATGTACTTCCCCCCCAGACACCTGGGCTCTCTTTAGGTCCATTTAAGATTTCTCAAATTGGCAAGGCTTTGTTTCTTTCCACACTAAAAGAGTCTTATCAATTTATGGTTATGGAACATAACACCAACGGCTGGGATATTTTTATAGTAGGTTTCCAAAATTCTTGCTGCACAAGGTAGAAACTACTGATCTGGTTCAGGACAAGCCAGGCTGAGTACTGTAAAGCACCAGAGCTTGGGCAACACATAGTATCAACTGGGAAGCAGATTAGACTAGGCAAAGGAGAACTCCACAACTATGCTGATGTGGTTCTTGGTATAAAGGTACTTCTGTGACTTTTTTGCTATACTGCAATGTCAAGCACAGCCTGTGATTTTCAAAAGCTAAAGATCAATCTTCAGTATGGAGCTCACTGGACTAAAAATATTTTGTCAATTCAACATACATCCCCTAGCCAATGGATTTTTTCCTTCTATATGTTTGCTTCTTCTGCAGCAGCCAGTAATACAGAACTATAGATGTGGCTACAAAAAAAGTGTTTTCTGTCTTGTCAGCACTAAATAAACTTGTAATTAAATAATCTTCAAGATTGGGAAAGCTTAAAAAAAAGTGTTTAGAAACAAAATAAAGGCAAATTTTCAATAATGCCATTGATTTTAACTGCTCCCAGAAGGAAAATCTGCTGAGAGTATCATAGCAGAACTTCTATAGGAGGCATTGACCTGTTATTTGCTTGAAAAATAAAAAGGGCATGAAAAACAAAACTAAATGAAAGCAGCTAATGACTATTAATATGAATTTGCAATGGCAATGCCCAAATTTGATAACACAGTCATCTAGTCCTCTCTCTCAACTATTTGTGTCCTTCAGCCAAACCCTAAAACCTCAAAGCCTAAACCAAGAAATCGAATTGAGCTCAACTGCAAAGTCCCTTTGCCACCAGGAACTGGTGTTACTTCTCAGCTGCACCAGTGTCTTGGGTTGCAATGCAAGATGTAACCGCGAGTATGTATTTTACTACCATCTGTTCAAAGCAGGTGGGGCAGTGTTATTTATCCATGACCCATCCCTTGTAACTCCAGAGGGAAATCTGTTAATGGGCCATTGAGTCTCACAGCATGACTGATAAAATTACATCATCCCATTGTGAGATGCTCCACCCAGGGGGAGGAGCCCAGCATTCCTACCTGGACGTAACCTGAGCCTTGGGACACCACAACCAGCCCTTTTCCACTGGATTCCCAGAGGAAGACGGGACCCATCTATACCACCACTGGACTTTCAGAGGTAAACTACACACTTGTACAGGATCATTGCCTCAACAGAACTAACACGATGTCAGGTTGTATTCTGACTCTATCAGTAGGTTTGGTTTTTTTTTTTGTACTACTGTATTTTTATTTTAATTTTCCTAGTAAAGAACTGTTATTCCTATTCCCATATCTTTGCCTGAGAGCCCCTTGATTTCACAATTATAATAATTTGAGGGGGGAAAACTTACATTTTTCCATTTCAAGGGAGGTTCCTGCATTTCTTAACAGACACCTGTCTTTTCAAACCAAGACAACCAAATTATTAGAAACCTCTAAATTGATGGCTAATCTGGGGAAATCTTGACTTGTGGCATATAAGCCATGATCATTTATGTCTCTATAAGCAGCGGTGCAATTATAACTGTATTGCTGTTTGGCCTTGCAGACTTCTGCAGTCAATAGCTTTAACTTCTCCACCCCACTGCACCTGGGGCAATTAGTCACCAGAGTCTTAGTGTTACCTCTGCCAGCTGAAATAATGCTGATGTTCCACACTGTTTTGTTAGATCAGAAGGCCCTGAATGGGATGTACTTGAAGAAATCTATGGAGAGAAAAAACAACATTAATAAAATATTCTTTTATCACTACCTATTATTTTATGCTCATGACTCAGCTTTTAAGCTAATTGTTTCCCTTGTTTCCAAAAATTCCCCCCTCTCCAAAATTCATTTGTAAGATTATATGCTGAAAAAGAAGTGCAGACCTGTACATGCTGGCATGAATAAAAGCCCACTCCACCACTGCTCTGGTGGATAATGCCACTGCACTCTGAACGATACATGCTGATTTGGCATTTTTCTTCTCAGGACTCCCCTTGAGGAACAGGATGAACTGAAACACATGCTCTCTCACACAGGAACAGACTCCAGCAGTTAAGCAACAATCTAAACCAGCATGCAACCCAGCTGGTGGTGTTTTTAAAGGCTTAGCAGGACACTGGATTCCAAAATTTCTAATTATTTCATTTCATTATCATAGGTTAAGGAGGCTATTCCTTTCAGGCTATTGCTTTTTGATGTCCTACAGGACTCATATAAAAGAGATGCTCTTGAAACCAAAGTTAAGTAGGAGCCCTCAAGCCTTTGGTAATCTTTAGTACTCCTCCGAGTAAAAGTAGGCTGTCATGCAAAAATGTAGCTGATTATCCTCCAGAATCTTTTTCCTGTATCAGGCCATGATCCTCTTCAGTACTTTGGAGTGTTTTGTATCAGTTTTGAGCTAGGTGCAAAGAAATGATATTTTTGTAAACAAATTGAAAGTATCAGTATCAGGACTGGCCACTATGTATGAAGAAAATGTTATATTTTTAAGGACATATCCCATCATCTCTGAGCAGGTTTGGGGCTTTCTTATACCTCATTCTTTAGGCTGCATAAGAAAGTGAAGATATAAGAAACTGGGGAACTAAAGTATTTACACCCTTTTGGTGCTCCCTATCCCCAGAAACTGAGTTTTCATGGCTCTCAACCAACATGGGACTACAAAGTCAATCTCAGAATTTGGCCTGTCACTGCCATACAGGAAATAAAAAACAACACTGTCTCTACATCTCCTGGAAGGTGCAGCTGTTCACCACATCTCCCAAGCTCTGACCACTAGAGCTCAAGCCTCCACATGCTGCTCACAGCCAAGTACTGTTTGTGCTGTGAAGCAGCCTCCTTGCCTTGGTGAGGTGATGCTCCCCTCCTGCACTGCCTCCCTCCACTCTCGTGCCTCCGCACTGAAGGCTAAAGACAGAGCAAGGGACTCAGCAGAGCTGAACAGCAACAGCCTCCCAGGCTTCACAATGCAGGGTGGCTGCTCCAACCATCTGTAGAAGCTTAGAAATCCTCAGAATTTTTAGAAAATAAAATTTAACCCCCTTCTGCATTTTATCTTAATCACCATCTGTGAAATATTGTGAAATATCAAAAAGGAAGGGATAGGGAAGAGGGTGAAATAAAAAGAAGAAAAAATTGTTTAATACACATAGCAAAGAGATGAAGGAGAAGCAGAGCAGTGGGGTATGCTGAAGAAGACAGGCTCCCACACACCTGCCATGCCATCAGCATGGAAACAGCAGTCCAGTCCCCTCCAGTACACAGTATCTGCAGTTTGGAGTTACAGCAGCATAGCACAGCTGTCTGCAAAATCCACTTGCAAACCTAAGACACCCTCGAGGCGATTATGAACATATTTGGGATGCTCCAAATCACTGCTATCTGAAAACTTAAGCTGAACCTCTCATGTATCGTTTATCCAACTATGAGCCAACACTAGAGATCTCTAAAACTGGGGAAAAAAACAAAGGAAAAAAATCAACAGCACTGATGTCCCACAAGAGCTAGGGACATAGAGGATGTGCCTAGCACATCTTCTGTGTTTTTCCCCGTTTGAACCAGAGCCTTTAACGTCCATTTTCTGTATTAAATTAGGCTTGCAGGAATCCATCTGAACAATCACTGAGAGATGACAGAAACCTGTCCAACACAGAACGTCATGCTGCCAGACTTAGCTTCACTTTTTCTGCCACCTGCAGTACAAACTGTGCACTCCCGTGGACAAGCATCTGTCCTTCTACTAAATCAGGGCTTCACAAGCTTCACAGTCACATCACAGTTTCTAATGCTGACTTCTTAAAATCAGGCTGCACTCGGCAACAGCCTTACTCCAGAACAGCACACTCAGCCTGCTGCTGTCCTGTTAGAGGCCAGGTTAAAAAGTTCTGGTGTCCCTGAGTAAATACTACCAGCCCTTCCGCTGTCCCAGAGCTGCAACAGCCAAATAACCTTATGGATCACTGATCACAGTTAGGTGTAATCACCCTTGCACAGGCACTGCTGGCCATGGAGCACATAGCCATAAACTCTACTACTGCCAGAGACTGCCTGTACAGTAAGGCAGATTTTCTGCCACTCATATAAGTTCCTATAAAGCCACAGTATTGCAAGACTATCCATAGAACAAGACACAAAATACTTTCATTTTAATGCTTCCAAACCTCTGCCTTTTTCTTGAGAGAGACCAACTTCACCAGCAATAATAGAGATATAGGGCTGGCTGCAACTAGATAGTATCCAGAGAACCATTCTCCATACTGAAACAGGATGCAAATTTGAAATAAAAAACTAGAACACCACAACAAAAAAAGTGTACAAGTAATGTGCTGGCATACTCCTTTATTTGTCAGGAATACAACATCTATCTTCATCTTTCAATCATCATAAAGAATAGCATTTGCATATCAAACCTCAGAGATTTTTGAGTGAATCATCCATATCAAAGAGGAGACGTCTACAATGTTATATTTAAGACTCACAGATAATTTATAGGACTTTGAGGAAACTTGACCCAGCATTCTTGATTACTGCTGACAGCTGCCAATTTCCCAATTTAATACACTGCATTAGTTGCCAATTCTTCATACAGATTCCTGATGACCTCAAAGTCTACTTTTCCTTTTCTCTGTCCCCAGTTAAGCAATGCACCTTCCAATCATTGCAACTAAAGCTTTTTTTTTTTAATCCTGGTATCCAGCCCCTCATTAAGAAGAATACTATTATCTCCTGTCTTTGCTGTACTCCTGAGCATTGTTTTTATTACTGTTATAAAGCTAATTTTCCTAAAAAGAAGTGTAACCTTCTGTGCTGTCTCTAAGAAAATATGCACATTCACAAGTGTCTAAAAGACTAGGTCCCTGGGACCATAGCCACTGCCTACTTCTCTTGGTATGTCATTATTTATTAATCCGTGTTTCTGGAAATACTGAATTTGAAACTAGAGCAAGCCTTAAACAATTATATTTTTTTATTTTTTTATTTTTGTGGAAAAGTTGTACACATCCTCCCCTTCTGACACTACTGGGTAAAACTTTACCTCTGCCAACTGGAAGAGTGCCGACTTCCCACAGTGCTTTACTGGCTCGGGACTTGGCAACTGGGAAGTATTTGATGAGATCTAGGTTACAAATGAACAGAGGAGAAAATATTTCAGTGGCACAGGAAAGACAGAAAGGAAGGGAGAAAAAGAATGGAAAATAAGAGATTAGTTAAATCAGTAACTTTTAGTTCTTTCTGGGAAAAGGTGCTATTTCAGACAGGCAACCCCACCCAAGAAACACTTGACAGATATCTAGAAAACAGGAGAATAAAAGCAAATACAGCATTCCCTCCTTAGATTATGCTCCTGGATACTCTATGTTTGTACTGTCCACAGCTAATGCTATGTCATGCTGTGGGTTTTACGTCTGTTTTATGTGACCAAGTGAACAAATCATACCTGTTGCTTAAAAATATGCACTATTACTTAAATAAAATTGTCCCATAAGGCCTGGACAGTATTTTCTATTATTGAGACACAGAAGAGGATCATCTGTCTACACAGGCAGTTCTTGTCTCATTTTCTTTAGTTATGAAAAAGGAAGTGAGACCTATGTCTGGAGATCAAATCTAGCCTTCCAAAGAGCTGTTGGTGTGCCAGCATCTGTGATGAGTAAATAACTACCATTACCACTTTGGGAAATTGCTTTTACAGTCAAATTTCTTCAGACCTGCTTTCCAGCGCAGCATTATGAATTCAGAAATGCAAGAATTATTATTTCCCATATGTGACCTTTTTTAGCATGGCATTGTATGGTAGTATTTGACCCGGAAGCCTTTAAAAGCCTTGGGACAAAATCACCAGTGTTTCTGTGTTATCTTCTTACCACAAAAATCACACTTAGGACCATGATTAGGCAGATAGTGACAGGACAAGGACAGTGGTTTTAAGCTGAAAGAGGGCAGGTTTATAGCAGATGTTAGAAAAATTCTTAACTCAGAGGGTGGTGAGGCACTGGAACAGGTGGCCCAGAGAGGCTGGTGCTCAGAGCCAGGCGGGATGGGGATTTGAGAAACCTCATCGAGTGGAAGGTGTCCCTGTATGCCGCAGGGGGATTGGAACGAGATGAGTTTTAAGGTCCCTTCCAATTCAAACCACTCTATGGTTCTATGATTTTCCAGATGCAAAAATTATGTTTGCCTTTCTCCTTGTAACTAAATCTTTCCTTTGAACTAGGTTATTTGAAGAACTTATCCTTCAATTACCTGTCAAAGAATTTATTATTACGCTCCGCACACTGCATCCTCCTCCACCAAAATCCAGGACATCCATTTCACTTAAAGCTTTTTAAAATACAGTGAATAATACTCAAATGTGCACTAATTTTAATTTTTAATATTAAACTGAAATATTTCAACAACCTAGTTTTGCTTTGAGATAGTTTACTGAACCTGCTCAGGACCATACTTGACTAAGTGATCTTGTACTCTGCACTTTGCAGGGAGATGGTATCAACTTTTTATCTTTCTATTATAACAATTGCTCATCTCAATGTTTCTTTTTTTCTGTACAATATGAATGGCAGAAAAAGGATAGAACAACACCCACACACACTAAATTGTAACTTGAGAACATACAGGCATATCTTGCCTCCTGATGCAGAAAGTGAGGAAAGAGGAAAGAAATTCTGACAAGACAATAGGTGTTCCTAAGAAAATGTGAGATCTTTATAGTACTAGAAGAAAGAGAGGAAGCAGACAGTTAATATCAGAAAGAAAAATGTTTTAAGAGTTAAGAAAACAAACAGCAAGCGACACAATCGTGTAACTCATTCTGATGAAGTTACTGGCCAAACATCAGAAGGAAAAGAATGGCAAATCAATCAGCTCTCAGTGATTACAAATCCCATTCCCTATCTTACAAACATCTTCCAGCCTTAATTAGAATAATCAGAACCTCCAGTACTACAACCACAACCAGCCCTTTACTTATGTAAAGGTTTAACTGGAGGATCACTAGGATCAAGTTACTATCTTTCATTACAGTACAGGTGGGATTTTAGCTACTATATTACATTTTAGTTTGCAAAAGAAGCATGGTGCTACTTTTTCATCTTCTTCCTAGAATAGGCACTTCATTTCAACACAAACATTTAATAATTTCAGTATATGGGCAAACAGCAAATACATTTGTCTTTACCTGGGAAGATTACAGCTTTACATATGGGAAAGCTGGAAGAGAAAACACTCACTAGTTTTAACACTCTTAATTTCAAGGCATTTTGAGCAAAAGTTTTGGATTCAAATTTCCTGTTCTGCACAGAAATAAACAGACAGCAAACCTCCTCAAAGTGAGTATGAGGCAAGGCAGCAGGGACAAAACCATCCTCAAGGCATGCTTTTTTTCTTAAATTATAGTAACAGGCTGGACTAACAAAAAAAATTCCACCCTGTTGCATGCTGCATAAGACTGTTCTGTTTTTTTAAAAATTAAATCACCTAGAGAAAAAATTTAGAAAGACTGCTGAAAGCAAAGAGTTTGGTGGTTGTGGATTTGTTTTATTTTTAAGATGGTTGAACTAGCAATTCTTTTGCTTCCATACCCCAGAAGCCTTTTCTTTAATAACAAATTAGCTTAAGAAAGTAAATCCAAGAGGTACTCATCTTTCCTCTCAAAGACACAATCACCACCATCTGTTCACATTTGCCAAACACAGATGCAGTAAGACCAAGGGGTCCCATCTGCTCTGCTTCCCTCTCATGGCAAGGAAGGGGACAGTGACCAGCCCCCGTGAGCAGGCAGCCTGCAAACAGCCACTGCCCTAAGGAACACAGCCCACTGCTCAGAAATCACAGCCTTTCCATAAAGGTTCAAATGAGGAGGACAAAAGGAGGGCCACATACTGGCAAGGTCAGAGCAGCATGAGAAAGCCAAAAGCGTAACTTGACAACAGTCCAAACTTCAAAAAGCTCTTATGAGGATGTTACATCATCTCTGAAGACCTCCAAGGCACTTGCCTGTGTACCCACAGGACCAATGTCTTGCTCCCAGGATTTTCATCATCTGTTGTGGCAAGTCACTGGGCAGGCCTCATTAGCCATATCCTGAACAGCTTTAATTGACAACTATAGCACTTGGGCTAGACAACCAGATGAAAGACTAACTGAGGCTGTAAAGACAAAAAGAATCCCATGCAACCCTACACATAACGAGCTGTTTCTGAGTGACAGGGCACTTGTACTCCTGGGGTAAAGGTGTCTGTTTTAAATGACAAACCTACTCAATGGGATCACTGTCTTCACAAAGAGGCACTCTTACTCACCCTGCTGCAAAGGCGGTGAAGAGAAAGGCAACATATGAGGAACACCCAGCCAGAACCAAAACTGAGCTGGGATGGCTGCCAGAAGTCTCTAGGCACATCAGACCAGAGCACACTTCACATTTCTTCACAGGTCTACTTGGCTACTGGTTAAATAACTACTTTCTCTCCCTCTCTTTTTTCTTTTGTAGCACTGTACATTGCTGACAGCAGCCCACTGCAAACTGCTTGCCATAATTTAGCTCACTAAATGCAGTAATGCGTTCATATAGACAAGATGCAGTAAGAAATGGCACAGTAAGGAATAGGACTTTTGCCAAATTTGACAAAGACAGCCTGTGCAAATGAAAGGCCTTATAGCTGAAAGAGCACAAGCAGCTTTAATAGCAGGGGAGAAAGCTTAAAGAGGTTCTATAACATGCTTAATACTTTCCCCAAGGAGCAATCTAAATTAAATCATCAGGCTACAAGCTTAGAAAAACGCCATTTCTCTACTGCTATAGATAAAAAATGATGTTCAACAGTGTCATTAAGGTTTCACAGGAAGAATAACCATGACTAACAAGGTGGGTTTTTAAAAATTTTTTCTTTTCTTTTTTCTCTTTTCCTGATTCCTGTCTCCTATTTCCAGCCACAGAACAAAACCGACCCCTCCAGACTGCACACACATTTAAATATTTTTACAAGAAAAAGAGATTAACCCTGACTCTAAAACTGTCCCCAGTAAATCCTAATTAACTTTCTAAGCACCTTTTCTACCTATTTGGTGATTCATATGTGCACTCCAATGTGCCAAAGGAGATCACTCAGCATAGTGGAATGCAACTCAATGCATTGTCACATCCCTATGACAATTTTCAGGTTTGTTATTTTGTTTGTTCAATTAGGAGAGGAAATGATTTTAGGTTCTGTGAAATTCTGAGAGTATGGTTAAGCCCGGTTTTATGTGACATTTAAGAATGTGGTACTAAATGCAATACATACTCTGTTCAATTCTGCAGATATCCAGAATGACTGAGATATCTTTGTAACTAAGTTAGCAGATTCACTTGCAGTATTATTCCAGTATTTTGCAATAAAATTAACAAGAAATGTTCTCCAGTTTGTGTCTTTTAACTTGGTTGAGAAGTCTGGCTTCAGCACATAGTTTCACCTTGCTCAATTCTAGTAATTTTCTCAAAAGAGCTTTGCAAATTGATTTCTAACTTTCAAAAATGTAATAAAAGGTACATACAAAAAGACCTTCTTGATTAGAGATAGTGACTCTATTGTATCTTTTACAGAGGTGTTTGTAGCCAGATATTTTCTGGCACCTGAATCAGAAAATTGATTTGTCTTCCTTGGCCCTCTTAAGAAAAACACCAAAGCACATTCTAGCCAAACTAAAAACACATAGTAGACAATTAGCTCAACATTTCACAGAATGAAATGTGTGGTATGTAGCCAAACCTCTGTAAACACACAGAATAACAAGCAGGATATCTTTTAATCCCTTTGTGCTTCTCTGCAATAGCACCAGCTCCAGTCCCAGCCTTTTCAGACATACACAAAATGCACCTGTGGCTTAACTGATTCTGCAAACAGTATCAGACTCCCCCAAATGGGCAAGAAGAGTATATGTGTGGAAAGTCAATTCACAGAGGCACATTCAAGACATGGGAGAAGAAATTCCTAAAAGCAGCATTTCAGGAACTCAAAATCTTCAATATGTGGAGGAAGGTGGAAAGGCTACTTTCTTACTGGAAATGGATAGTTTTGATACATCAACACCTAACAATGCTGTTAAATGTCCTTGAAGCTGTTGTGATAAGCTTCCTCCGACCTGCAAGGATTCTTTAAATGATTCCTGCCTCTAGGGCAGTCACCATTCTGCCCTGCTGCAGCCTCTACCACGGGCAGTGCACAGTGTCATTTCAGAATGTCTTTTAATTGCTGTTTTCCTAGATGTAAATTAAGCGGTCATTTGGATAGTAACTGCAGTGATCCTTTGAGTATGGAAGGCTAGGTAATGTTCACAAGCCCAGTATCTCTCAGCTGGCAGAATGACATCTCATCTAATCACTGGTTATTCACCCCATGGTTTTGTTAACACAATGCTGCCACAAAGATATACATCTGATGGGAATCCCTGATAAGACAGGGTGCTTAGCCATTCAGTTACAACTCTTACCGGTTCCTTGCTTCCTCCCATCCTCCCCCACCACATTCAGCCATTATACCTCAGCAAACTGAAACAATGCAGACTCCTCCATTTGTTTTACTGCCCCCAGGACTCCAGGCTGTGACGTGTTGGAAGAGATCTGTCAGGAAAACAATTATGCTTGTATTACCAAACTCTTCAGTTTCAGTATCACACTTCAACATGCTAAATTTATAATCTGTCATAAACAGATTCCTGGTACTCCAGAGTATGCAAACAAGTCCCAACACACCCGTAGAACAAACAGTATCTGCTTTCCAGGAAACACATAAACAGTGACCTGTGAAATGGTAATCTTGAATTATTTTTCAGAAGGAAAATCTCTCCTAGGATCAACAAAACAGGCTTTTTCTGAAGGGCTTTTATTTGCCTGCTGATATGTCAAAGAAGGGTTAGCAAAAAATACTTAACACTGTATTGTATTTCACAGTTCAGTGGAAGACCTGAGACTGTAGAATGGTGGTGATGACAGAGCACAAATTGCTACTTAGCAGAGAAGGTAAGTGTGGACAGAAACACAATGTGTGCAAGTATTTTGAGATACCTGATCTATCCCACACACTGAGGTAACTGCATTTCATACTGTTTAACTTGTGTCAATTAGTTTTGTTGCAAATGACACCTCTGATTAATGTTAGACTTCACTACAAGTACCAATTATTTTGCCTTCGACACACATACCTACCATGCACTGGTTAGGTGCATCCTCTCTACAGGCCGTTTAATATCTTTGAAAAATAAGACTAGCTAATTTGCATTTCTAATTACTGATCATCAGTAAGCTGCTTCTAAACCACATGTTTCAGCAGTGCAGGTGAGCTTGTTTCCTGGAACCCATTGAAATTTTTCTTCAATGGGTAAGGAAAAGCCAGAGGTCGGAAGCCCTTAGCAAGGCCGTATCTGGCAGCACACAATTCCTGCTTACTGCCACAGGGATCTGGCACTTCCCTCCTTCAGCACTGTAAAATGAACTAAAACAATTAGGTGAGCTGGTATTTGTCTTACTCTTTAAAAGATTCAGCAGTGAAATTCAATATAAGACATTGGTCTACTGACAGGATAAGCACACAGAAGGATCTCAGAAACCTGGAAAGATGGATGTTGAATCATTACCACAGAAGTGTCATAAGTGGTACTGGAATTAACCAATTCTAAGAAGCCTCTAAGTATTGCTTTTCATTGCTGGCACACCAGGCATTTCCTCTTCCTAACAAGAAAAGCCAGCAGGCTGTTCAAGAGCCTAATTACAGGTTATCTACTTCACTCTGGCCATTATCTTTAATCAGAAATAAAGGATCAGTGCTCCAATTTATTTCTAATACATTTGAAAGACTCGGATCTTAAACTGGAACTCAAGGGCTTGTGTGCTGATGTTAAAATACCCAATTGAAACAAAAGTCCCATTTCCTGTGTGCATGGCTTGCAATATATCTGCTCCAGAAGTGATGATGTTTTAGGGAGGAGTATGAAGGTGCAAAGGCAATAAGTATTAAAGACAAGTCAGATTCACAGCTGGTGTGAATACAGGTAATAAGAAGCCCCTACAAAATTTCTTTCCATATACACTTATTTAAAAACTACCCAGTGTCCCGTAAAATCAGTATCTATACAACTAAATATTTTTGTGTCATGTATTATGACTATTTCAAAAGCTGGAACAATACCAAGGAACAAGTGATGCTTGCAGAGGGCCAGAGCTACTTGCAATCTCATTTTTGTTGTGTTATTTATATTAATGAAACCCTTTAAGACTTGGATGAAAGTGTTTTCTTTCTTCAAAGAAAAAGAACAATACACACACCACAATTGCACTTCTAGCAGTAACTGGAGTATACTGAAAAAAATACTGCACATTGTAAAATTAAAGCATACTTGCATAGAGCTGTTTGGTTGTTCTAGAAGAAAATTTTGGAAATTTAAGAACTACAATTACTTTTGATGGAGCCGATGACTAAATCAGCCACAATAGGTTAGAAACATAATGTAACACCCAAATACACTTTAAAACCGTAGTTAATAAGGCTCTGGTTTAAAACTAAGTGCAGAAAGGACATAATTTGGAGAAATTACAGCTTAAACCACAGCTCCATTATTGCACTTGGGTATCCAGCATGGTCCTAAACACACTCTCTTGCACTTCAAGTCTGACCAACCTGATAAATGATTCAACAGCATAAACCCAAAAATGAGGGAACAAATAAGAGCATCAATTTTAGTTAAAGACATTTGGTTTCTTTTCAGCTGGACATCAGATGCTTCTTAAAAGGAAGCACTTAGAAAATAAACCAAAACCCTTTTTAAAGAAACTCACCTCTGCAAACTGAAACAATGATGACTTCTGACAGGCTTCTGTAGAATTAGATGCATCAGACTGGCAAGTACTGGAGGAAACCTGAAACAAGGAGTGTGCAGAGTAAGACCTCAAAGGTGCTTCTCTCAAGCTAAAAACAACAGTAAGCAAAACAAATCATTTAAGAGAAGGACAAGTTAATATTTTGCAGACCCAGAAAGATTAAATAATTTATAGATGAAAACATAGTTTAACACCTATTTTAATGCATTTGAAAACTGTCTTAGAAGAAAGACCACAAAGAATACCATTTTTCCCCCCTCCTTTTATGATTCTGAACTTGTCAGAATAGTTTTATGCAATAGAATACTCAATGGCTTATATTGGACACATAACTATCTTGTGTTGGTGATGCTATCCACACTGCTAGGTCTGTAATTTGTGCTATTAATTCTGAGTAAGATTATTGAGAAGGTTAAAAAAATTTTGAAGTCACCATTGATGACAGGAATACCTATTAGAAAAATAATCTCCAATCACAACAGCATGAAAATAAGTAGATAAGAGTAGCATAAGCTTAAATTTTCTCAAATCATGTATCTAAACATACATTTTAGGGGTGCTTTTGAGAAGCAGTAAAAGAAAGTCATTATATCTGAAAACAAAATACTAAGAAATAACTACTTAAAACCAACAGCCTTATTTGAATTAACACAGACCTTAACCATGGTATTCTTATTAGCTAGAAATATGTTAATCAAGCATTATTCTGTAAAGGAATTCTATCAAATATGATACATTCATTAAACGTCACATTTGAGTGTAAAAGATTTACATGTGTAACTCCTAGGAGAACAAGATACTGTTAGTATAAAATAAGGTATGTAACATGGCTTGTAAGACACAGAAAAAAAGAGAGGCTACGGAAGATTTTAGGAAAAGCAACAGGATGGAATTTTTTTCTTTCCCCTCAAAATTTCAGATTATTTAAAAGATTACAAAATAAATGTGGGCCTTTTTCTTATTCATTACCTAAACAAGTAAATCAACTGCCTTTATTGGTGAAAGCACACAAGATTTAGCTACTGACTGCATCTGTTAGTAAGCACAAGGATGCACAGCACATGCAGGCCTACAGCACGTGCAGCTTGCCCTGCTGCTGTTTGTCTGAGCTCCTGAAGCACTGCAACATCAACAGCAGCATTTGCTTTCAGGAATCTGCAACCCACGCTCCCCTGGAAACACTAAATCCAAGTGTAGCAACCCACAGGACAAAGGGAAATAAACCAATTGACAATTTGCTTACATATACAAACAAATTTGTTTCTTCCCTGCCATAAAACCGAGCAGCAACAGTGACTCCTGTGATCTATATTTCCACTGTATTTATTCAACACTGAGCAGGATGTTTTATAAGTGTACTATGGGAGTACAACAACCCAAAGGGACACAAAGAATGTATTTTTAATGTCTATCTTCTGCCTGTTTAGTAGGTTGTGCTATTGTTTTCGCTGATGTAACGTTTATTACTGACTTTCATCGTGTTTCTGAACAGTCTGTTTAAGATGTCTGTGCCTCAGCAGTAGTCTGGACTATACCAGGAATGCACTTTGCTGCTTTTGAGTGAACCATCTCTGAAGGTCTGAGACTCTGCAGAGGTGTAAATATGTAAGGTTGCTGCTTGCACATCTGAGCACTCTTTTGGTTATTTTAGGCCACTGTACTGATGGGATTCTTAAAGGAATAACCAAATTTTGGACTTGTTTCCTGTATTTTCTGCAGTTCAACCAGCTGCCTCATTGTGCTTAGCTCTGAGATTGAAGGCACTGAGCCATGGGCCCCAGGAGCACCATGCTGGAGTGGCAGTGCCCTTCCAAGAGGGGCTGTCCTGGTTCAGCCCCCACAACACAGGTGCTGTCAGACACTCAGGATGAGCCTTCTCGCTGCCTTGGAGGCCAAGTGCTGGGGGCTGGGCACAGCTTGTACACCTGGTGGTACAAGAACCACTGGCTGTGGGAGGTGTGAAGTCCAGTTTTCCAGTTTTGTGTGGAGAGGACGGATTGCTGGTGCTCAGTAACTGAGTGGAGATTTCGTTGTTGGAACCACTATGCTTTTCCTATCAATTCCTGCTACTCTTTAAGAAGTTAATGCTGTTACCTTTACTTGGCAGAACACTAATTTGAGCTTGTTTCTTCTACTCTGCTGCTTCCCAAACATTTTTGACCTGTGGGAAACATTATCTCCAGGACTTCTAACCTTTGCCAGGCTGAACATGATTAAAGCATTAAAATAATTACCAGAGGGAACAGATGCACAGATAGTGCCATTTTGTACGTCTCAGTTATTGCTCTAATAAAATGTCCACAACATCCCATTTCTTCTCCTGTTTCTTCCTCCCAGCCTTCCCTCAAGCTGCACTGAGAGATTTTTCACTTCTGATTCACACTTCTCACAGACCCTGCATCACATGCAACACAGCCTTTTGTTCTCAAAAAGAAGGAAACCACAGGCCTTCCTTTCCCTGCAGGTTACCATAACCTGCTCCAAAACGATCACACCGAACAAGGGTGGAGGAAAACCCCTGGGACAGCCATACTCTGACCGCTGTGAGGTGTCAGCGTGGGTAGACTGGCAGGCTTTGGAGGACGCTCGGGATTTTGGGATTTCTGGGCAGTAAGCTACAGAGAGTCCACTAGGTGCTGCTGTAAGGCAAGGAAAGGGCCTGATGTAAGGGAAATGTGCAGGGAGCCGAACGGCAAGCAAGGAGTGCTGCTCACCCACCTTCAGCCTCACTGCCAATGACCTGCGGCGAGGACCAGGCTTTGCCCGGCACAACCACAGCAGCTGGAGCAGACCTGACCAGCATCTCTGCTCAGGTATTCAATAAAATATGCTCATACACCACTGTCCTGTGTAACTGAGGAAAGCATCCAAATGCAGGGGGAAACTCATTGTGTTTCCATGTCCTTTGCCGACTTCCTGTAAGGTCTGTAGCTTCTCTTGCCCAGCTGTTTAGTAACTCCAGCTGCTGCCTAGAAATCAATCACCTACCTATACTGAATTATCAGAAGTGAAACTCTCTAGTCTATTACAAAAATCTGCAAAAATGGGAACATACTGGCAACATACAGAGATGGCAACTGAAGCCTCAAAAAGTTTTGTAAATATCCCTGTTGTGCCTCTTCCCATCCTCCTGCTGGCAAGTCACTTGGTTACCTGACATCTGGGCTTCTGACAACTTGAAGATTCAACACTTCACCTGAAAAACCCCTATCCATTCATTTAGCATACACTTGGTAGAACAAGGAGGTGTTAAATTCTTTCCACTGGATTAGCAGACATCCAAGTACAGTGTTCTTCATCCTCTCTCAAGTGTTGCCCTCCCCTCCATGAACAACTTTAAGACTGTAGAGGTATGTAGACCTATGCTTACAAGGCCACTCAAGGCTGCACAATCATACACATGCCCAGCAGTCAATATGCATGTTGACAGGTAATCCTGTGTCTGGCAGATCCCAGTTTAAGAACTATATAGGTATGCATGTATCTTTAGTGTAGACACACACTTTAATGATAATTTGGACTACAGGTTATAATTTAGAGCATTCTTTAAAATACAACACTGTCTACTTTAAAAAATAGAAATGCCAAGGTTTTAGATGTACAATGTGTATTTATATACTTATATGCATGTAAAAACAATACATATATTCTTCAGAATAAAGCAACTTCTGAACCTCTTTCACTAACCATACCCCTGTAGTCACCTTAGTACGCCCATATTCTCTCCCATGTGAGTACCAACTCTAATACAACACAACTGACTTCTCCCCACTGAAGAGCAAAGCAGCTTCCCAAATCTAGAATGAATTCTTGAGCTGCTTTCTGAGTTTGTCATATCACCTGCATGACAGCATATTCTGCTAACCTCCCAGATGCTGTTTTAAATATGAGACCAAAAGCATGGAAATCAAACCATAGATTCTCCTAAAGGCACGCAAAGATGACCATCTTATATCTCCTTTGTCTGCATGCCTGAGGGTGGCAAGACAGAAGAGTTGTTCAGTTATTTAAGTTTAAATAGGTTTAGGATCATTACTGCATTTGAGAAGCACATGCCTAAAAAATATTTACACTGTATCTATTCACCACTGAATGATAATAAAGGAAAAATGGAAGACACACCAGGGCTGCCACACAAAAGAAACTGAGAAAGTCTCTCAGCACCTGGATACACAGCTGGAGACTAGTCCTGCAAACAAACCATGAGGAGGACTGAATTTTATTCATCTGGGTCCCTTTAAGAATACCAATCACCCCAATTGATCTGCAGGAGGTATTTTACAAAGGGGACCCTCAAAAAGAATCAGAGATGTGGAGTTCCCTTGCAAACACTTGTCAGATAGGGTAGGACAATTAAAATACAGTAATTCATTAGTAAGTATGAGCTAAATTGTGGCCCATCACAATTCTAACAATCCCTCAACTAGTTTTGTCTGGGCTCTATTCATGACAATTATTTTGCTCTACATTTCTGGGGAAGGCAGATTACACAGCTTGCTTCTTTGATGTGGAGGACCAGGTTTCAAAAGAGGACTACAGGCCCAGAAGAGTAGAGCATAGTTTATACATAAAGTGAATATTTCATCACAAGTCTTATTGCACATTTCTATCAGGAAAAATGAGATTTACTGAGGCACATGGGAGGCGTGTCGTTTGCTCAAAATAACAAAGTTCTGATTAAAAGAACTTTCATGCACTAAAACGATCACACAATATGCTTTTTGATTTGACTTTAAATCTACATGTAGATTTTATTCCTACATTGCCATCTGACATCATACTACTTAGGCTTTTGTAAATCCTGTAAATCAAGACACCTCAGCTCTCAAGGTCATTGCAAAGACCTTATTTAAAGAAATGCAGTATTTGTGACTACAATATACCTTCCCTTACATTTAAACGTAACAGCATAGTAAAAACAACTTCTATGCTCCAAGAAGAGAGATTACAAGTTTGAGAAGTACAGGACAGTATGATTTACCACAAAATAACGTTTCACTTCTCAGTCAACTTGGCTTGAGTGTTTCTTATTTTTCATGCTGCAGCACAGAAGGTCAATACTCACACAGCACAAAACTGCCATGCTAAAACTGGTGTGCAAATCATTGTGGAGTTCTGGCAGTACAGGAGCAGCACATCTCAAATGCACTACACATATAGATTAAGTTTTACTTTTTACTTGAAGTTTTTACTTTTTCTCCCAATAAAAACAACAACATAAGACAGCACTTTCTAGAGCTAGAGATTTATGCCAGTGACTACTTATTATACCCAACAAAGAAGCCACCTTTTGAACAATTTTCAAAGTTGGCCTAAAAAACAGATGATATTAATAATCAGAAAGACCAGAGATCTCTGCACTACTGGAGATACACACAAACATTTACTAGACTCCTTTGTAAAAATGTAAAACACCTTTGTGATGACAACTGAACTACAAACTTCTTTTTAGACACAAGGATTTAGTGAACAGGAGCAGACTGCAATACTTCAGTTACCTGTCAGCACTAGCATGATTTCAGAATGCAGATACAATGATGGTGACTTTGTAGGAAATCATTAATTTATCTGTTTGCTATTGCGAAGGCCACACTTGTGTGAGGCATTGTACAAGCATATAAAATCCTTGCTCAGAAAAGTTTGCAAATCACCTGTTTGTTAATACAGTCACTGTATTTCAAGTCTTTTACCTCTGACAATAAATCTTCATGGGGCAGGCTTGACTGGTGTGCTCAAGTATCAGCAGAGTTAATACTGAACTGTGCTCAACTTCTACATTCACAGCTGGGATACAAGACTCACACTTCATTCCCAGCTGAAGTTACCTGAGATGTGCCCTAACTTTCATTCCCCACTGCTCTTTAAACAGACAGCTCCTGGTAAGGGAGAGAAGAGAGTTCCTTACCTCTTGTGCAGTGAGTGCATGTTCCCCTGCTAGAAGCAGCATACTCAGGCCTCCCATTTGTGTAGGATCTGGTAAAAGAGTAAAATGAAGTCTTAAGTTGATTCATTTGCTTGTTTAAAAAACCTACCACTTGCACCACGAAAGCCCCAGAAGACTACTTGTCACAGACACTCTCAGCAAGCTGCCATAAAAGGCAGTTCAAGAGAATCACAAATAACCATTTCTGTACCCTCTGGGAAGGCTTTCAAAGCTGTTTGAAGGATTTAATTGGATTTGTGTGCTTAACACCCCATTGCATGGATTTACAATTCTACTGCCAAAGGTTTTATGTACTACAGAGATGAATATCTTTAAAACAGCAACTGTAATGATCTCATACATAAATATACACAAAGATGCTCTAATAATGCACAGGTTTGTAAGTTGGTGGATGCTCCTACCAAGGGAGCGGTTCCTTCCTTGGTGACAGAACAAATAAAAGGATGAACAAAACAACATGATCAAGCTCTGAAGCAAAATTTCTATTTTCATTTGTCTTTAATTTAGAGCTGTATTTAGTGGTGAAAAGTGCCAGCCTGACAGCTCTGAAGCATGAAGCCAGAACAGCACAAGCAGTGGCCAGGAAAGCTGCCTGCCTACTTGTTGCCCTGCCAATACAATATATAATTGAGGAATGAAAAATGGAGATATAAATGTTCTTTCTCCAAGTATTTGATACTGACAGCTTTTCCCCTCCAGCCTTCCTGCACCTCAGGAGCTCCAAAAATGACAAGAAGTGAAAGCAATAAACTCTGACACTGCATTACTCATGGAGTAGCTTTTCCACTCAGAACAGTGGTTGCTCTTCATCGCTATGAAGACTAATTGTCTGATTTTGGGAGAATGCCTTGGGAGCAATGCAGGCGCCTGATTTAACGGTGTCATGTAGAGACAGGGAGACAGACAGTGGCCAAATGTCTCCTCCAACAGCCACAATGTGAGTGGAATTTTTTGATTTTTTCAGCTGACATGGGCCAAACCTGTACCTGTAAACTCCAAACAGTTTAGTGGTACAGATGATCACAGTCCAATTCATGGGAATACTCATCGATGCTGTTTAATTCAATACCACAGATGCTGCCCAGAGTTTTCCTGCACACAGCATCTCTCACTGACATTCCCAAGGTAAGTTTTTCCAATAGTCTTTTAGAAGGGCATTAAATAGAATCAGAAGAAAACAATGTAAATAAACCAGGCTCATTCATTACCTTATGGATAGAAGAGTGGCTTATTATTAAATAGCACTAAACAGGCATCCTAAATAGCACCTAGCTTCTAACCCAATATTCATCTGGAATTAACTTCTACTTTCACCAGAATAAACACATAGAATGCAGGAGGGGGGTTCTGTTTTTTTTTGAAGAAGTTTGCCTTTTTTAAATAAAAGGAAAAAAAAAAATTACACTTCAATGAAGAGACAAGGCACTACCAGAACTGTAGGATCTAGTAACAAGAAGAGACACAGAAAATGTGAAGGGCCAGTAAGTATCTAAGCACAATTCCTAAGTGAAGTGATCCTGTCAGCAACAGCACTTTTTGCCATCCAAGCAATTGATCAGAAATCATTCAGTCCTTCAAACCTTCAAAAGAAGGTATGAAGATATGAGGGCAACAGAGAAACTAGGAAATGAAAAGTAAACATCTGAAAGATAATGCCGGAGCAGATAGTTAATTTGGAGGAAGGAGAGAATGGAAGAGATCTCCAGGCCCACCATAAAGTTACTGAGCTCCGTATTAAACAGTCAGACCTTGGCTGGCTGCTTTCTACTTTGTTTACTCCTTTTGGAAGGTGTTTGCAGGATTCAAATCTTCTAAGTATTAAGATCTTTCTTCCAGGTTTTAGCTTAAATATACTCAGGGCCAGGTAGCATATGTTTTTTCTGGTACTCTCATCTCTAAGATTAGTAACTGTTTCCCTAAACGGTATCTCCCTTTTCTGCATTTACAGGACTCTCCTTCCACTTGTTTTCCTGGTCTAAACAACTCAAGATCTCCCAATGTCATCAAGCATATCCATCTCCCATCATTTCAGCAATTCCTATAGCTCTCCTCTGCAGTTATCACAGATGTAGTTCATCTTTTTTGTATACAGATGACCAGCAGTGCAACCACATCAGGTCAGGGGGCTCCTGAAAACTCTTTGCCTGATAAACAAAGTGCAGTGTAGTACTTTCTTATGCCTGCATCACCCTGATGACTCCCAGCTGCTCTTTCATGCTTTATTTTCATTACCTGTTGGTCCTGTTTCCCCCTCCCCAGTTTTGTCCATCTCAAGAGCACCCAATTTATGTCTGTAAAATTCTTGCCCCTCTTCTAAATATCTTCTTGGCAGTTTTGGCTTTTTGCCTTTCAATTTAATAGCTTATCATAAGAGAACAAAGATAGAAATGTGGTTTAGTGTTTTTCTCCCCAAGTAAGCAAATACTTAATCTGTTTATTTAAATATAAAATTTAAATGGAAGGAAAAAATGACAGATGAATTGGAAATAGAAGTTTAATGTGATGCTTAAACAACTTGAACACTTATGCTGCAGCTGTAGCAGAGGGCTGGTACTTAGATGTCTGCTCACAATAAAAACAAAAATCCTTCCACTAAGGTTTCCAATTACAAAATAACTTCACCTAAGGGAAGACAAAATCTACATATCCAAACACTGCCATATGCTTATAGTGCCTTCTCAGCACAATAAGGTTCTCTTCTAGGAGCTTACTGGTATGAAGAAGAATTTTAAGGGGTATTTTAAAGAATTTATTCTTAAATCAACAGTTCTGGGAAAATAGCACACACATTTGACTTGCAGAATGGCAGGCGATTCATGACTTTCTCAACAGCTTTTAATACTGATGAAACTTAAAACCATCTCTTTGTTTGGGAATGTCATTCTTTGTTAGTACTGGGCTGGTTACAGACTCTGCAGGCTGGCTTGTTCATCCATAGACATTTCTCAGTCAGAGGAAACAACAAACTGAGGAAGTACTAAGCAGGAAGAAGGTCAGCAGGAACCAGCTTCAACCAACTTTTACCTGAGTGCATAATTGAGCTTCTTTGTAAAAAAACCAGAAACTGTGTTTCTAAAGGGATATAGCCTACTCTAGAAGTGTCTTTCTTCCAGCCTTTGCCTCACTAAAAAGAATTTTGGCATGGATAGTTTTCTTCTGAAGAAAAAATATGCAAGTGGGAATCTCACACATTTGTATGGCAAAGCTCTTGCAAACAGCAGTGTTCTTTGCCCTACACTGGTAAGCCATATCATGAGAAAAACATGTTCAATGACAGCTTCCAGGCTGGATGATCAAGGACATCACTAGTGGGTCTGCAGGTCAGAAGCCCAATGCTGGTGCCACACCTCAGCTTCTTGATGGAATGGTAGGTCAGCATGACAGACTTAGATGTGGCATGGTTATTATTGTGAAGCCAAGAAAAAGACAGAAATAGCCGGTGTAGGACTTAGAAAAACAAAGATCTTGCTCTCTACGTATTAGATTTTCCAAAGTAAAATGTAATGCACAAAAAGCAGTCAAGACATTATTAGGAACAACCAACAAATGAAACAGATTTCCTAGAATGATTCCAGACTCGTATAAAACCTGTCCTGAGGAAGGACCTACCTTCAAGATACAAGTGAATCAGTGGCATTTGAAAGGTAGAAGTGTTTCTAAGGTGGTTCAGCTACATTTCAGTTCATCAGCTAGTATACAGCCTGAATTTTAAAGAGATTGCACTGGGTAGAAGACTGAGAGTTGAACTGAACTAATTTAGTGTGAACTGGTATATGGTTGGCAAATCAGTGATCCATTTGGTGTGGATTCACATGTGTCATGATGTGGATGTTGCTAACATCCCTGTCAGAAGCTGTCTTGATTTTATGAGCTATTCTTATACCCTACCCAAGATATTTGGTGTAATATCACTGCCATGAGGACTGGAGATCCTTATGAATTACTATGCTCATTGACTTAGCCTGCAGGAAAAAAAAAACTAAAAAAATATTACAGGTAGCACTAAAAGACTTTCTTCAGAAATGAGCGGCTCTATAGATAAAACAATGGATTAGTTTCTAATTAATTTTAAATTTCTCTGTCCCCTACTCTGACAGGTGTCGATTCAAGACCTCTGTACTCAAAAACTCGATATTAGGGAAGCCCAGCAGGAGCATTTGGGGATGGATGAGAGGCAGATTAAGACTTGTTACTTGTTCTTTGTGTTAAGTCAATAAATATTTAGGAGCACAGAAATGACTCCTCTAAAAGCAAAAGCGGAATGGTCTGAAGGGGTTTGTGATTTTTGGAACTGCTCTCTCATATACTAGAACTGTGCAGCATGAAACACTTTTATTTTGATCACATTTCACAGTTCCTTAAGAGCCAGAATAAATTTCATTACAGGAGTTTTCATACCACTATACTAAGGTATGCATGCCTCTTTATCCCTTCTCTTTTACGCTTGTTCCGTGAAACCATTTTCTACTATCCAACTCACAATCTCTCCAAGCAGAGAAGTCCTATCTGCTACACATCTGTCATAAACCAGGTAGGATATGACAAAGTTTCTAATTATATAAATACTGATGCATCTGAAACTTTCAACAAGAAAAAAAAAGGAAAACAAAAGGGAAAAAAATATGGAAAATATGGCAGGGAATTTTTCTTTTTCAACCTTGACTGCTAGGTTCTTAAGCTGCCAGTATTTAACATTAATGTCCTTGTATTTCAAGGTTATGATTACAACAGTTCTGCTATTTATGGATATCAGTGAGAGATTATCTGCTTTTCACCAGTTCAGGCACTCCACCTACACTTCACTTTTTTTTCCCCCAGAATGTTTAGAAGTTTTGAATTTACTCCTCCAAGATATAATGGGCAGAAGAGCACATTTACGTTAAATTAAATTATGCTTCTCTTGACACAAATACAAAAGTGTTAGTCCCACTGGTACATTAATCTACAAGAATATTAACATATTCAACTTGAGACACTCATGAATTATTTTTGCAAATAGTAAATTACTAAAAAGAGTAGAGCATTCTATGACAGAGAAACAGAATGCACACAATCAGCACTTTCCTATTTGACCAAAGAATGGAAGTGTCTAACAGCAGATAAGCTGGGATCAAAAACCAATCAAATCTGGGCCCTACAGGGGGTATAAGTTAGGATGCCTCACATCTGGACTTGACTTTTGAAAATAAATCGTGCACTATGGAAAATTTTAGGAAACTGTTACACAGAGGTTTAACTACAGTTTTGGTAACTTAATCTGGGACACTACAGTACCATGTGTAGTAAAGAAAACAGGTATCCCAATTCAGTTTCAATACCACATCCCCAGACAAAAAGAGGATGCTACAGCTGAGTACCATGGATGGAAATCTCACCTGCCATCCCAAAGTTTAGTTGTGGCATTTCTTCACTTTTGGTTACTTTCCTTGGGCTCGGTAAGTCTTTTGCAGAGTCTGATGCAATGGCCCATAGCTTTTTCCTGTTCGTAACACTGGATGCCTGGGTTTTCACAGGTTTGTTGGTTGTGGGGCACCACTTGTACCCTGGGTTTGCTTTCATAAATGCATCCTTGTACTAGAAAAGAAAACAGAAATTATCAGTCATGTCATTATACTCTACACAGGGCAACAGAGCACACTGCATATAAGAGGATTTAATACAGTAACTAATCCTTAAATATATTGATTTTTAACAGTTTAATCTAATGCTTAGAGTCCAACCGCAAACACAATTTGCTAAGAATTTTTAAGATAAGGAGAGTTTTATCTAAAAAAATGGGTTTTCTCTTTCCTCTCCTGAGGGTCTATTACCCAGAGCAGGCTGAAGTTCTGACCCTGCAAACTGCTCCCCAGTGCTTGTATGCTCATGCTCTGAAAAAACAGATACTCGAATTCTTTGCAGGTTTACTTTCTAGTTTGAATTAAATAAAAACACACATTTAGCAATAAATGTGGCATGATGCCTCACATTCATTCTTCTCTAATAGTTCAGTATTTTAGAATATTTGAGTAAATGCTTTCCCAAACCAGGCACTGAAAAGAAATTGCAACCAGTCTAATGTCATATTCAGTATCTCTTGTGGTAAACCACCCCAGTGCTCCTTCCAAAACGTACTATGCTGTATGGCTGCATAAAACCAACTGTGACCATTTAGAACATTCTTTGGCCTTGAGCACCCAGCACACATCTCAGTTGTTTGCTGTGTTTTTAGTATGAGGCAGCAAAACAAAGGAAGCCAAACTACACATGGCGGGTGGGGGAATGGGTCTGGATCCCACAATTTGGGAGGGTGGGGGAAAGGACCAGGATCTATTTTATTCACAAAACAAAACACCAACATTTTCCAGTAATTTTACTGTCCACATTAAACCAAGATTTTTGAATGTTAACAGTAACAGAAAGACCGTATTTCAGTATTACACATATGTTGCTATGCAAGCTTGAGAACTGGCAAATCAGAGGAACATGCCACACATTCCAGCTGCAGATGTTTGCCTAACAACTGATAGGGGTGTACAGCACTTGCTGCTGTGGGAGCACACCCAGCAAGTACCAGTGCTCACCACAGGGAGAAGGAACCCAACACCCCTTCAAGACTGGGTAGCTCTCAGTGGCAGCAAACAACCGAAAGAGCGGCTTTGTGTTTGGAAGTACATGGCAGGGCAGAGGCAGGAAGTTTGTTCTGTGATTACACGTTCCCACCCACACAGCTGTCATCAGTCCCAGTCATGGCACAGAGAAGCACCTATGTTTCAGGCAGATGCATGCACAGAAACAGAGAGAGGAAAAAAAAATCCCTTGGGCATCAAATACAGAAATAGCACTGCAAGCCTTGTCCTCTGCTAGAGCCACTACAATGTTTTCCCAGCTCAACAGCCTGCCTTGAGGCAGGGCCACCATTGCACGTGCGCTGCTTTCTTTCATTTCTATCTTCACCTCTGAGCTGGCACTTGCTACCTCCAGACCGTAGCACAGACAAAACCGTTTCGGTTTACAAGAAACACAGCACTGCGTGAACCCTGCTGTGTGAAGTCTTGTATTTATAGAAATGGCTATAAATAATAAAAATCTGCAGGGATCACTGACCCACATACACACTGCATTTTCTGAATAGGGTGTATGTATTAAATCTGCAAAATAAGGACTGTGACACTGCTCACCTCACTCCTTTTCCACTTCCCTCAGTTTGCTCTGGGAGCTCAGTACACCACAAAAATAGCCTGGTGGAGAGAAGGGATAGGAAGGGGAGGGTAAGGGAAGAGGAGGAAAGGAAATACACGACGAAGCAGCTTTGCCTTCCATTGTTAAAGCCACAGCCCACTCACAAATCATGTTTCCAGCCTGCAGAGTGAAAAGCACAGAGTTGCTAGCAATGAGCTACATAAGCTCTTCATATCAGCAATGCTGCTTCGAGTAATTGAATTATTCTATTGAGTAATTTGACAAGCCGACAGGCTGCCCATCAAATGAGAACTAGAACGCATGCCATTTGTGAGATGAGGCTGCAATAAGCTTTTAATCAGTTTTCAACAAGAGCAATTGAAGTGAGCTGGTCTATTAATGTCTTTTTTTTTCTCTGCAAAGCCAAGAAGTGAACATCAGCTGCATTTTCTGAAGGGAAGAGAGCAAACTGAGGGACTCAGTGGAACTGCTCAGTTTCAACACGTAAGATAAAAAAAGAGAAAATTTTAAAAGTTAAACAATGGCCGAGAAGTACTTTTTATAAATGCATACAGGGGCCTGATCCAAATCTTAAAAACCCTTTTGGTATTGACTTTTGTGACTACTAGACCAAGGCCTAAAACAAAGATAGACTTTGCTTTGGGTCATAAGAAGATAACTTAAATGAGCTACACAGTAACAAGAAAAGGCTGAAGACAATAGTGGAGTCTACTGCTTTCCTCCCTTTAACTAACTGTGCAGTAAAGCAACTTAATGCTGCTAGTCTAAGCAGATGTCTAAAATTGATTAAAAAACCCCAAAACACAAGCAAACCAAACCAACCATAGAAAACCACAAAAAACGCAACCCAAACGTAAGTACCAAACATGGAATGCAAAGACAGTGACTTGCTTTCCACAATAAATGGCACAGACTGCCCAGCAGGGTCATATTCTGAAGTTTCAGGTAAGAAACAGAACAAGATGTGCTTGTGGGATTGGTCTGATGCCTTATTTCTGTTTTGTGAAAGCCTGGAGAATGTTCTGCTATGCAGCAGGACCGGTGCCACTTTAGGATTGAGGCTAAAACTCCCCAAGTTGCTTTCATCACCAAATAAAAAAAGATTTGCTTCCTCTAGTTGTGGTAGGAACAGGAGCTCACAGAAGTGGATTCCAGATACACCTCAGGCTAGCTGTTAGCACGTGCTTAATTTTAAATGTATGCTATTAAATATCACATGAATCCCAGAGACCTAACATTAAAAAAAAAACAAACAGAAAATACAGCACTCCATTTTTCACTTCTGAAGGATGCAGAGTTTGCACTACACACGTTACAGTCCATACCAGTGGACTTGCCGAACTGCAGCCAGCCAGCCACGACATTTGTCCCCTCCTACCCTGAGGCAGCTGCCGAAGCAGGGGCACCACAAGACCTGCAAGCTCTCAGTCTGGCTGCCTGGACCTGAGACACCACCAGCAGGGAGAAGTATTCAGCTTAGCCACTGAATGGCAGCAGAATCACACAATCAGTGAGGCTGGAAAAGACCTCTGAGATCACTGAGTTCAGCCGATGAACCAATGCACCTTGTCAACTACACCATGGTATTCAGAGTCATGTAACAGTCTTCCCTTAAACACCTTCAGGTATGGTGATTCCACTACCTTCTGGGGCAGTCCACTCTAATGTCTAATCACATTTATCAGGCTGCTCCCTGCAGGAAACAATCCTGGCTCTCTGGATCTTGCTGATGCAAAGACATATTTTAAAATTAAGTGTCTTCTAGCAAGGGAATAGGGCTTGAACAGTAACAATCTCACCAGATACTTTCTAAGGCAGCTGAACACTCCTAGAAGTTCTGTAAGAGTTAACAGAAGAACACTATCCTTATTACTGAAGTGAATAAAAATGCTGGTGCATATTTATGAGCAGCCAGATTAATTTCCCTTACTGGAGAAAAATGCTAAAAAGTACAGCAACACTTCTGGTTTCTTTTTGAGTATGTATCAGCTACTGGGCTTATATCCTAGACAGTGAAACTTTCAAATTTAAGCTGATCTAGGAAGTCTGCAGGATAGAAATAGAAAGCCCACTCATAAAGGTAACACCAGCAAAAGCAGACATCAAGCTCTGCAGGTGCACCACCAGCTCTCCAGGGCTTGCAGTTGTTGCTACAACTGTTGCTAGAGACCATAAACCAAAAGATAAAAAATAGAGGGAGCATGGGGCCAGTTTTTCCAAGGTAATTAAGGCATCCCAAAGTGCAGACAGGTATATAATGGAATTTTCCACAGTGCCTGAATGAACTAGAGCCTCTCAGTGGGAGTCAGGGACAGATGTCCAGTCTAGGAAACTTCTCATAATTCCTCCGGCAAAAAGTTTGGGCGCCTCACTATCTTTCAAAATGCTGTATCTTGCATACAGCTAGACACATGTAAATAAATATACAAGTGCCTGGACTCGCATACTGCTAAGGTAATATCACTGCTAGTAGTAAGCAGGTAAGAAATTGAAAGCTTCTTGCATGGCACATGATCTAACATAAATACTTTGGGAGCTACAGCAATGATTAGTAAAAAACATTCTAGAGACTGTAGAAGAGCAGGGACTATAGCCACTGCAGGAGGGATCACTTCTGTAAGGCCCACCTGTATCTCTGAAAGAGTGGTTTGGAAGCTCAGGGTATACAAGACACATTGTAGGGATAGCAGATATGATAGGGTTCTCTGGGAGATGTGTGCCCTGCCAGGATGGTGGCTACAGGCCATGCAATGACAGATGGAAGTCAAAGGACACTAAAAAGCTACATTTAAGTAACAGAAGATAACTCACTGTATCTTAAATCTCAGTGAGCTTACACAGGTACTCCAACAGAAGATCATTGGTACAATGATATTTTTATCTTCCTCCAAAGGCACTCATCTTCTTGAATTTTAAATACATTCTCTTTAGGAAAAAGGAAAGTACCAACAGGTGGTTCTCACTAAAGCTGACATTAACCTCTTTTTGACAGTCTCAGCAGTAAGCCTACCTACAGGTGAACCTGTGCAACCTGCTCTAGGTGAACCTGCTTGAGAAGTGGGCTGGACAAGGCGATCTCCAGAGGCCCCTTCCAACCCCAACCATTCCGTGTTTCTGTGAAAAGCAAGTGTTAACAATAAAACAACTGATCCACACACAGAGAATAGGCTTGTTGGTGAAGAAGGCCCAAATGTATTCAACAGCACATTATAGCTGCTAATTATTGCTGTAACATACACTGTTTAAAGAACAAAAATTATACGCTATCTCTCTTCTACACATTTTTAGAACTACTTATAATGATGTAAACTACTTAGATTTATTGTTCCGCTTTGACGTTGAATATTCAATTTGTTCTTCATGCCAAAAAAACCAAACCACTACAGGAACAATGATTTCTATAACAATATGATTAATAGTTTCAGATCTGTCACTTCATACAGAAGTTCTGCAATTATTTTCCTTCTTGATGAACAAGTTTCCTTCAGCAAGACAAAAGGCTAAGAAAAACAGTCACACTGGGTTTGTTTCTTCCAAAAAATATTTCTTTATTCCCATCTTTCCTTTCTCGTCATCTGTACTGAATCTTCTAATTGCCCTTTCTCCAGACATTTAGAGAAATATCACTAATTCGTAAGCGGGAATGCAGAATGAAACTGAAATGGCTGGACAAAGCTGAGACTCAAAAGTTTCAATACTGTACCACAGATGAGCAACTACAGAGATCCTACAGACCCTGCTTAAAAAAGGACCTACCATGCTAAACACTTTGTTTTTCCTATGGACCTTTCCATGCTCACATGAGCTACAGAACAGACAGACCTTACATCCTGTTAACAGTAGCAGACACCTTCAGATCCCAGACAGGCATGGACAGTAGTTTTCCCAATCCTTTCACAGCTATTTTCACTTCCCACAGTGCACTAGCATACTCAACAAAGGAGAGGGATGTTTTTCCTACTCACTGGTGTTCCTTTATTTTTATTAAGATTGAATTCGAAGGTTATGTGCAATGTGTATCATGCAGGAAATCACAGGGATCTGTTTCAGGGTCAGGTTATCAGCCTAAGTAATTGGCTGTCTTTCTCACTCTACCATCAATAACCACAGCCCTCTTGGCAATAGCTTATCAAGAAAGCTACTTCTTCAAAAGGCTCATTTAAATTTTAAGTTGACATAAAGATACTTTGTGAAATACGGGGATAAATCTCCTTTCCTTGCTCCTGGTTAACGGACTCTGATTAGTCACTGCTCTCTGATTTGGCATTGGACTCACCAAATCTTTCTGTATCAGAAACTGGTTGATGGGGAACGTACTTCAAGAAACACTAGCAATTTATTTAATTAGCATCATAGGTAAAAAGGGACTAAATTTCTTGACTGTGCCTTTGGTTTGGTCCACCTGTATTACAGTAGCTGACATCACTGATATCACTAGTCAGCTGACACAAATCAGTATGTTATCGTTTACAATGGCCACTATCCTTCTGTTAATGCTTGTACTGCAGAAATTATCAGGCGATACAATCACAAAGTGCATATATTTATAGCAACGACTACCGGAGCCAGGTTAGTTTGTGTACACAGACCAATTGCTTTCCATTCTGGTCCAAAGGATCAAGTGAATTAAAGCGAGAACAGCAGCTGCTCTGAGCACCATAATCCCATGGTGAAGCTGAGGAACGGAGGGAAGAGAAAGATCCCACAAAAAACATTTAATACACCGATTAAAAGAGGACAAATACGTAATGAATTCCCTTTACATCCACCATTCAGACAGAACATACCTCCTTGGCCATGTCAGTGTATTTCTGTTTTTCTTTTGGATCTAGAACAGACCACCAATCTGCCAAGATCTTGGTTGCGCCACGATTATCGAGGCGAGGGTGCTCTTTCCGCACAAGAGAGCGGTGTCGTTTGCAGAACAAGAGAAACGCATTCATTGGTCGGCGAGCTCGTTGCTCTGAGGACTCATCATCTTCAGTCTCATCAGCATCCTGCTCTAAACCATCAGGGCCAAGGAGCGGCACCTGGCGGAACCGAAAGGGAAGGGGTGTAAGCTCAGTTATCTGCGTTTCGCACCAAGACTGAGACCGTGTGCGCTGCGTGGGAGTGAGGGAGAGGCACATGGATGCACACAGCTGTCTCCAAAGGCCATCCATTCCATCCAGACAGTGCAGAGCTCTACATCAAACCTCCTCACCTGATGATCCAAGGCTCATTCATGCTCTCTGCAAGACTTAACACCGACTTCCAAGGGGAACAATTTCTAAGCTGAGGACCATTCTTTAGTAATAGTCCTAAAGGGACAGGAGGAACAAGATCTTTCCTGCCCTCCTTCTGACAACCTAGAAATGACCTTAGTGGGATGAGGCAGCCAGAGCTACCTGGGACCTTGATTATTCATGTCTGCAACTACAGAGCACACAAGGAGCAACAGTTTGTTAGTTTGTCAGTTGTTTCCCCACCTCCTGCTGTTCACTGCTCAGCCTGTGAGCAGCACAGCAGTGCAGCCACCACAAAGCAGAGGCAGAGAGCAAATCTCAACAGAATACACTGCCAAAATGTGCTCTCTCCACTTAGGCCAGCGTATCTTTCTTACAAGGGACGAGCCACAGAACTTACTGCATGAGACAGAAAACCACCTCCTACTAACTGCGACGCTGCTATTTTATACCACGTTGTGAAAAGACCTGTAAGGTCAACAGAAAGCACCATCAGAGAATCAGGCTCTTGCTTATCCTTGTCAAGGTCATCCTCTCTGTGTATGGCTCAAGGCAGTCCCTTCAGCACTGTCCTTTCCATTCCTGCCTTAGGAAGGCACCAAGGAGATACAAATATGAACGCTAGCCACATGATGGAATCATCACATCTGCATAAACAGTTCCCACTTCTTGTTAGAGAGAATGAGTCTAACTGGAAAAGTGTGAGGTGCCACATGGCATGAAAAAAGGGTAAGGTCAGCATCATTGAACAACACCAAAATACCAAGTATCAAACCAGAGACAGATTATTTCTGCTGTGCACTCAGTTCTGTGGAGGATACACTGAATTTCACATGCAAAGATAGTAAAAATTGTAGATAGCTTTTTCCTTCTTTTTTCTTTTTAATCTTTGTAGGTTTTTAATCTTTAAAAAAGAAGAATGAAACTTTTAGTTTGGTATGCCCTTCAGAGCCACTAGAAACAGATACCAAGCACAAGACAACCTCATGTCTAAAATAAGCAATTAAGAAAAAAAGCACATCAAAAACTCACTTTGAGCAGTCAAGACCAGGATGTGCAACACATTATTAAAGCAAAACAGATAAAACTACTCCAGTCTACAAAAATTTGTCCACTATTTTCAAGGCATGATTAACAATTCACTTTCTTGTGTCACTACCTGCTTTTACAGCCTTACAGGCAACGCATGGCATCACCTCTTATTGGCTGTGTTTCTTCACAAAAAAAGAACAAGACACACCAAATAAAAAACACAGCTATGGAGAATCTGATCCCCCATTAACCATCTTGGGTCAAAGCATCTAATTAAATCTACCTTATCAATATCTTCCTCCTCTTCTTCCTCTTCTTCCTCTTCAGAGAAGTCAAGGAGTTTCTTGGCAAGCAGGGGATGCCACTGAAGACACTTCCTTTTTGGTCGCTTCCCAGTTCCTTCACCTTCTGTTGAGTGATCCTTATTCCTACTACTGCCTTTCATTACTGTGACCTGTCATGCAAAAATATTGACAAATTCACAACAAACCCTTAGGCATAAATGACCATCAACCCAGTGACAAATATATGAGACACCAGTGCAAGACTCTCAGAAATTTCTGGCAAGATATTAGATAGAGATTTATTCCAATTATCAATGTAAGCAGGGATGTACTTCATGCAATCTTAACACTTCCATGTAATGCCTAGAGTTACTATCAAAACAATTTAAAACTATGAAGTAAGGATGCCACCTAGTCCAGCTCTCAAATGTGCCCCTATCTCAAGGATGGCAGAGAAGTCCTTCACTAGCCAAGTGAGTGAGAGACTCCACAGCTCTCTCACACCTATATATCCCCTGCAGCTTTTCATATTTTGCCACTGCCAATGTCAATGTCAGGACATCCCTCCTTCTCATAGTGGAACACATCACCAGCCACTTGTGTTAATCATGCACTTATTACATACATCAATGTTGATACTATGAGCTAGGATTTGTCCAGTGCCATTAAAAGGTGCAATAGGGAAATCTGAATCCCAAAGACAAGTGAATTTCAATACACAAATTTGAAGCAAACAACCAGAGATAGTTATGCTGACTTTTCCAAAGTACTGCACAGGAAACATAAACCTTGTGCTGAGCCAAGTGTATGCAGAAGACAAATCATATTTAGTTGTGCATGTGTCCTTAACTAAAAAATACCTCAGAATTATCTCTTAGTGAAAATACATGCTTAACACATCCAAAGTATCAGTTTAAGGGCTGACTTAAGAGATGTGCTACTCAACTAAGAGACAAATGAATATATATATATAAACAAATAAAACCAGCACATCATATCCAAGAACTGAAGTGCACAGCAAGCAAGTGCTGCTGGCACAGAGTCTGGTCCCGTGTAGCCTTCTGTTAGCACAGTGTAATATCAGCAGCAATCCTGACAGGAGCATGGCTAGCTTTCCAAGAAAACAACACAAACATCAAAACAAATTGAACTTAAGAGTGGTTAGCCAGCTACATCTTTACAAAGCCAGTAAATCTGATGATGTCTCACAGGAGTTTCTCACCAGCAGGATAAAGCAGCTGCACCAAGCCCTGGTCCCATAGGCAAAGCCAGAAGAAGCTGTGTTGCTGACTGTCAGGAAAAGGGCATGGAAAGAGTCAAGCCTTGTAACTGCAAGGCCACAGTGCATTTTAGGATGCTGCTTTCTGTAAGATGCCCAGTGCAACACTAACGTTTCAGCCTACAGTGGCACAAGAGAAAGCTGCCACACTTGCACATAGACCAGCTGCCCCAGCCACTCCACCACCTCTGGGGCAAATGCCCCACAAGAACCATCTTGCACAGTTCCAGCCATGCTCCTACGTTTAGTGCACACTATTTCTGTTTTGGATGATCTCTTCCAGGTGCTTCTTGTTCGTTAACTCACTGGCATTTTGGCATTGTGCCTTTGTTAGCACCAGAAACCTGCACGAGCATTCCCCTGCAGACCTTAACAGCGAAGAAAGCTGAAGGACCTTCAGACACTTCTTGCTGGAGGAACAACTGAAGCCCGAAGGAAGTATGTTCAAGAATTTTAACCTACATTTTAAAATGGCATTTTCCTGGATGTATATTGAAGTTTGTTAGATCCTCCCCACTTGTCAGCAGAACCTGCCCCCTCTACTAATTAAGGAAACCCTGTAACTTTGTAGTAATTTCATCCCATTAAGTGACATACTTGGCTAACCACATAATGCCACTTCTACCTGGAAAACATTTATACTTTGATTTTGTATCACCTGCTCCTCTGTTCATTTTCTGTAATCAACTCTTGCAGGGAGTTGGAACACCACATAACCATGCACCATTTCATCTAAATTTTCATCCATGACTTGCAAAGCAGATCCAAATACACAAACCACTTTGGCTTAAAAAAAAAAAAAAAGCATTAAAGGGTGGAAAATTAAGCCACTATCCAGTGTCACAAAATCTATGTTTGAAATTGCTTTTATCCCACTATGATCTCTGCCATGTACCACAGTGAACTGTCCTCTCCATCTGTCTCTCTTCCTAAAGTGCTGAACCACCATTAGCTTTTGTTTGGGGTATTTTCAGACACAAATCAACAAAGCTGAGTTAATGTTCAAGCAGGAACTTCAGCTCCTGTGGGCAGCAGAGATTCGTTCAGATTGCTAAATGATACAGATCTGCCTATTACTGCAGTCAATAAAGCATGTGGCCTATTTCTGAGCAGGATAAATATGCTACAAGTACAATGGGGAGAGCTACTCCAGCCCTCAACACTCACTCGTGTACATGAGCTAATCATACGGCTTCTGTCTACAATCAGTCTAAGTATGAGTGCTACTAGTAGCCTTCTACTTTGTTAGTGTGAAACTAAATTACCGTTTCAGAAGTGCTCCGTGATCCTCCTTTACAAAGCTCAGCTGAAGTCTCAGGGCTATTTCAGCAACAGCACTGTCTTTAGATAGAGCTGGCACCTTTACCTGCTGCCCTTAAAAAGATGAGCAAGGGAAGACTTCACAGGACTTAGGTGTATTTTACATGTGTTCTCCATCACCCTTGAGGCACTGCCTGTGCCCTATGCAGAGTTTGGCAAGGCAGCCCAGAGCCAGGCACCAGTCACCTTGCAAATCCCTTGCAAAGGCTCTCAGTACCTTATACCTCATCACCATAGCTGGGCTCACAAATAATTTTTGTTTCCCATGCATGAAGGCTAGGTATTAAACACCCACCACTAAAATAAATTAATCAAAGCTCATCACACATTAGTGCTAAAGTAAAGATGTACACTCAGCTTCAGGAATTCAAGGGATTGTTCATTAGGTTGTTTTATTAAATTGTGAATCATTTTACAACACAGAGTAAGTTAGATCCTGGCTGTCATACAAGCACCATTTACCACAGAAACATAGTCACTCTGCTTTCTGCTTCAGAGAGAATCTCTGCAATGGTCAACAACAAAAACCCTCCCGATTCTGACCCCACTGATGGAAGGACTGAGGCCACAGATTTCAAACTTTATGTTTACATCATGGCCTGGAAGTCCCTCACTTCTTAAGTATGTCAAGCTATGTACTCTACCCTCTATGCCTGCTCTTCTTTCCTCTAAAATAGGGGGTAATTCATAACACAAACACATAAAACTATTTCCTTCCCCTTAAGGGTGGGTCATATCCTATTTTTTTTACATACTTTTGTGTTTCCAAATCTTCTTTCCCCATTTTTATTCATAAAAACATATTCCCTTAAGTTCTGACCCACATTTCTGAAACTTTTTTGGTGTTCACTTTTTGCTGATGCCCCTCAGTCAAATATTGGCATAATGAAAGATGTTCTAATTCTTTATTACATTACATATGACTTTCCCTGTTAAAAATGGATGCCAACATAGTATTGTAAACTTGTTTTCCAAAGGATTGCTTCATCTTTTATTTTTCTATGCCCCCATTTTATGGGCATTTGTGTCTTAATTTTGATACATTCACATACATAATTATGAGAGAAACCCATAAAAAAACCCAGGCAAATGCAAAATACAGCTAACATGGACATGGTCATTTTCCTTTTGGCAAGATGTAGCAGAATACATGTATGATTATGATTAAACAACAGTGAAAGTTTTACTGGCATTATTTACTTCTTGAATGGCAAAACATCAATGGAATCCAGTTACCTGACTCTTAAGATTCTATTTATTTATCTGATTTTTTTCCCCTTGACACATTGTCAATAGCACGTTAACTGCTTGTTTCACATGAGAGACTGGAAGCTGGCAGACAGAAGCAAGCAAAAATACCACCTGTTTCTCATTCAGGGATCCCCAAGCACTGGCAAGTATCTCTACCAGCATGCTTCTAAAGAAAGAACTGGACTTGGACCCTACATTAACTGAAGCACACTTTTAAGCTTGGCAATTACAAAGTTCCATAGAAAGTCACAGAAAAAGCCATGTGCAATCTTTGAGAGATTTGGGCTTGAAAGTAGAGAAGATGCACAACACTTGAAGTGCAAAGTTTGCAATAACTGGAATTTATGAACCAGAACACTAAACAAAAAGCAATTTCTTCTACAGATATAAGTACAAATACCATGTATCTTTTAAGGTGGATGTAATGGCTTTTACAAGTTTGCAAGAGTAGAAGTTATTAAAACCAGGCAACAAGATTTTCCAAGTTACTTCTCAGCTTAAGGATGACAAAAATGAAGTGACAGCCACTAGGGAGAAAGTAGGAATATTTCGACAAGACAAAGGTATGGACAGATTTCCTTAAAATAAGCCGCATATGCTTTATAATGTCACTAGAGGATATCTGTCAAGGCTGACATTCATGATCAATTGACAGCAAGATACCTTCAGGGTGACATTTTACACCTACTTTCAGTGCATATACAGATCAAACACTACAGAAATATTACATCAGTACAAAAAATTTAAGAATTTTCTTGTGTGTGTGTGTGTGCTGGCTGTCCTTCTGGTCCTAGAAACATTAATCAAAGAAGCACAATCTTCTTGGATGTCTTATAAATATGTATAGCTAATACAGGTTTAGAGGAAAAAAAAAATTCCATAAGAAAAGAGGTAGATGGAGGGAAAGCAGGGGAGAAGATGTCATTTAGCTTTTTACTGACTATGTTTCTATTTCAAATACATAACCATTTAGAAGCCATTTTTTTTAAGTGCTCATTAACAAGCATTTGATTACATTTGGTAATGTTAAGTTTTGTTTTTTTGCTGTCTTCCTCTGTTATTTATAAAACAGGTGACCAACTTCAGAAGTGCTAATTTTGAGACTATCTCATGCCAGTGTTGATCTGCCAGTATTATTATTTTATTATATTATTTAATCTTCTACTATTCTTATTATTAACATTATGATGCTAAATAAGCTACACTCAATAAATTACATCCACGAACACCAAAATCCTTATAAAGGTCTTCAAAAGCAGCCAAATACTCTAAGGCATATGCTGTAAGACTGGTTAGAAAGAAATGCAAGACCTGTAAAAG